AAGTAAAAACTTACCTGGGCATAACCCCGGCACAGATACCTGTAACAAAGATGCCGACGGCCTCTATGCTTAAGCCGGGGATTAGGTCGGTGGTTAAGAGGAAAGAAAGGGATTCTTTCCAGGTAGCCTTAATAAAGGCAGGTAGATCTTGCTCGTTGCAATGCACTTCACTTCACAATAAACACGTCCGCTCAGTTCGACCGCTCGCACGAGAATGATGATGTGGGCGAACAACATTATAAAGCTAACCCTGGAAACTTGTGATTTCAACCGAAAAATGGCGTACATTTTTACCTTTTTTATATTCCTTTTTTTACTTACCTAAAGAAGAAAACTTTTCGCCTCTCTTCACCAAGTTTATCACTTCTATTTATACAATGTTGTACAATACACTTGCCCATGATAAAACGTCTAATTATCGAAATCACAGCGATGCGTACACGTCAAATGCTAGGACACGACTGAGCGCTGGTCTCCAAATCAGGCTCCAAAGTATTTTCACCAAAGTCGCTCTATAAGCCAGTCTAGGTGGACTATGAATACAACACACAATCTCAGATCACAGAAGACAAATTGTTTTATCTTCTGTGCCCAAATCATAGAGGAACGAGGAACGCGGCCGTTGACGTTGTGACGTTGACACTGTTGTCAGTTAAGATTCAAATTTAAATGTTAGTTATCCCAGGGTTATCCTCGTTTTTATTTTTCAGTTACACCTGTTTGAGTTTTTGTGTGCCAAATGAGTTTCCTTAATGAAGTGCTTTCATCGGCAGAAAAAGTTGAGCTTGATGAAACTAATAAAAAAGTACCGGAACTAAAGTCAAGAACAGAAATCATAAAAATTGAGGTTATACGTTACCTCGAAAACGTTTATGTAAAATACAGTGAAAGACCTAAGCAAAATAGAACCCTATTGACTAAAGCACTTGAAATTGAAGAAGAAGTAAAGACATTAAAAAATAATGCAGAACATGCAGCAAAAAAAGAATTGCTAAATTCACAGTATGAACTGGAGAAACATATAACTTCTTTAGAAAGCATTAATTGTGAGTTACATATGGTACTTAATCTGTGCCACATTAATGAATCTTTAATAAATTTTACAGAGTTATTTGATTCAAAAATGTATTTAAACTTGATGAAGTTAATCTGTAATTTAGAAAAATTGGTAAATAATTTTCCCGCTGATGAATACATTGAAGTAATAGATGAGCTGAAATTTATTATTAACACTAAAGAGAATACACTTTTAAATGAACTAAAAAATGTATTTACAGACAATATTAATATAAGTGAAAATGAAGATGAGAAATCTGTTGTTATAAAAATTAAAAAAGATGTCAATAACTTAGAGCAAGCCCTTTTTGCTCTATATTTTAAAAATTCTGTGGTATATCCTTTACATAGTTTTGCCAAATCTTTGTGGAACTATATTTTTGTGCCAGTTGTAGACTGCACTGTTAAAGTAAATATCTGTGAAGATGACAAATATCACATTCTCAAAGTCGTTACAGAGGATGCCACAAAAAAATCTGGATACTTAAAGGTGTTTTCTAATTTGAAAACAGTTTTAGAATACCTTAAAAAGAATTGTAATGTACACATAAATGAAGAATTGACTTCCTTGGGATATATTGGCTCAGAAATTAGGGACGATTTATCAGAACTTATAATAAAAAACTGTCTTCAGAACACTATTCCATCGAATGCAGCGGAACTCCAGAAATATAAAATTGTTATAGAAGATACTAAATCATTAGAAGAGGTATTAAGGGACTGCCATATATTTACTGAAGATACTACATCGATATTTGAATATGCCAATAACGTGGATATATTATTTATCAACAAAAAGTGTAATGAATATCTTGTAACCTCACAGAACATAATGAAAAAAGATTTGCATGATTTGGTTGAAATTGGTACCCCATATAATCCCGATAATCCATTAGGATGCAACATAGATGAGTTTCTACAGTGTACAGTTTCTAAAAATACTATCGAGTTAATCCAATTTACCGAGAAAGTTATTCAGCAAGCCCTCACAGTTTCTGATGTTTGTGGAGATCGCCTTTTCTGTACAGTTCAAAATATATTCAGAAAATATAGCAGTTTTGTTCCCGAATTTCATAGGAAAGTGTTACAAACTATACCACAACAAGTTGCTTTGTTTCACAACAATTGCTTTTATATAACCTTCAAATTAACTGAGTGGAATAAACTATATTCTCCAAGAATGTCGGCAGTTTTAAAAACCGATAACTGTGGATTTAAAGATGAAATATTTCAACTGCAAAAGGTAGCTGCTGAAACCTTTACTTCTTATATGGAAGGACAGCTGAAACAATTAAACGAGATTATGAAGAAATCTGGCTGTGATGATCATACTTTGGACAATCTAAAATTAGTCACGGAAAAAGGCATAAGGCAGCAGGAATTACTGAAAACTGCTTGGCATAAGGTACTGCCATATCCTACATATAATAAAGCTCTTGGCTTAATGTTGAATTCTCTCTGCAACAGTATTATAACTTCTATTGTGAAATTCGAGGATATTTCCTATGATGCAGCAGAACAAATGGTAGAAATAATGAAAACTATTTTTATACGTGGACCTAAACTGTTCACAAATCCCAAAGAGATAAGTCTGTATGTTTCTTCTTGGTGCAAACTGAATGAACTGAATTTTGTACTCGGTGCTAATTTGTTGGATATTAATGATAGATGGGTTGATGGTAAAGGAGCTCTCGCCCTTCAGTTCAAACCTGTGGAGATCAAGCAGCTGATTACAGCACTTTTCCAGAATACCGATAGAAAATCAGCTCTTTTAGCAAAGATCCAAGGGTAGAGTAGATTGGTTTATTGGTATGGAATTTTTATACAATTTATATCTTATACTTCACATAATTCTAGAACTTTCATTAAGTAAAAATAAAAAGTATTTTTCATTGTAATTGAGAACCATTAAAATACTTGTTTTTGTTAACATTTTTCATTGACTTTCCTTATTATACTGAAAATATAGATGTAATTAGTTAAGTATGTACTTTGCCACACTGCTGAATTGAACTTACTGTTTCAAGTATTTTGAAATGTGCCAATAATATATTTAAATTCCAGTCTTATTTTCTTTATACAGGCTGCCCCCTAACAAACGCCATCTGTTATTTATAGTCTGATTTTTTTGAAAAACAAAAATTAAATGGCTCTAAATACACTATAAAGGGAGCCTATTACAGCTTTACTTTTTTTTTTTTTTTTTTAATAACGATAGTCAAGCATTTATTACAGCAAATGTCGACAAAATATTAGTCGATACCGCATTCGGACCCGGCCACTAATTCATGACAAATGTATTTTAACTAATCATCTGTGCCACCGAAAACAAACAATAATACAGCAAAGCAAATAAAACTCAAAATAGAATTTTGTAGTTTTGTAGAAAAGAAACGATACAATAAATATCAATTAAAAGAAGAACAATTCAATTAAATACATTAACCATTATACAAAGTTCAACACGAAATAACATTAATTAAACATAAAACACATTAAACGAAGAACAAACAACTAAGGAAACAAATTGTAGCCATCCTCTATTGCCTGTACTTTTTGAGGAATGTATAGCTTGAATTTGTGCTTTTTCAATACTGCATAGGTATACAGTTAGTTCCCTTTGATGCTCTAATATTATTAGAAATTTCCCGAATGGAAGTTCTTGGGTTTTCTTCAACGTTAAGAACATTGAACTCAATGTTTTCATTGTTAAATCGGCGTGCATCTCGCTTTGGTTTCCTAAAAGCACCACAAATTCTCAATTTTCTTCAAATCTTACAAATCTACATGGTTCTGGAACTTCTCTGCGAGGAAATAGTAAAGTCAGACTCCTGAACCACAATTTTTATTACTCCGAAAGTATACCTGAATCATGTCCGTCAATTAGTTATAATCCATATTTTGCACTGTTGAGCTTATTTCAATAAATAACCTACTGTAAATGATATAGAAAGAGATAATCCGTAAAAAACTGGGACACGAACACTAAAATGACATTTACTGGCTATGTTGTATTATTTTTTGTTTTTCAGGCATACATGATTCGTCAAAATATGTTTGTTGTCAGTTAAGTGATCATGTGCTAATAATGCGGTATTGACTAATATTTTCGTGCTTTTTCTGTAATACATGTTTCACAAAAGTCAACTTAATATACATCGTTGAATTCAGAATAAAAATCTACAATAACATAAAAAAATCTATATTGCTATTTAAAAAAAAAGTTGATTATCGCTTTTCAAAAAAAAAATAATAAATACGCTCATTTTAAAAGCTCTGCTAAATTTTTACATTAATACATTTTTTTTTATTTGATATTAAAAAATGGGGGTAATGTTTTAAAGCAATTTTACGTACATAAAACACAGCCTTAAAAGCAGGTACCCAACAAAGCTTTGTGTTTTCTTTTCTGCGTTGTGGAGTTCTATTGATTCAATATTTAAATAATACTGGAGGAATAATGTTGGATATTTCCAACATTTTGCTGTGAAGCATTTTTGTTTATATTGAATTTTCGATAAATGGTTTAGGTTTCTTTCTTATTTCACATTGTTTCTATGATTGTGCTTGTGTATCTCGGTGTAAAATGGAAAAAAAAATAATTTACCTGAAAATTTAAAATATTCAACTTTATCCAGCCAGTATTTTTTTAAATTTCGCGTCGCTAACAGAATTCCATAATGCAGAAAATAAAATGTGACAAGTTTTGTTGGGAACCCACCTTAAGTCATAAAAAATATTAAAATGTGTTTTGTGACGTCATTAACAGAAAATTTTTGGAATAGTAGTGACGAGTTGCGCGCATCAACTTTGCTGCTTGGCATTTTTATGAGCAATTCCTTCAGTGTTCATCATTATTGCAAAAGAGAAATATCTTCATCTACATAATTAAAAACAATAAATGGTGACGACATTTACTTTCTGCCATACTTTTTTGGTACTTTAGTCTGAATATTGATTTCTAATATTGGAAATAAAAACAACTGTTGTTCTGTAAATCAACATTTTCTATAATAAATTTCTTAATTTCTTCAATTAAACAAGCAATAAATAAACACACTAATGGTATAAAAATTACTGGAGAGTACAGCAATCATTTTCATTGTCTTCAAAGAATAAAAGATCTGGCATATAGTTTCTGCACAACTTAAAATGTTTTAAGTACTCTAAAACCTCAATAAAAATTTAATGTTTGTCATCTATCGCAATTTTTGTCTAATACAAGGCATATCCACAGAGTAGTTTAGGAAAAATTTACGTATTCAGAAAGGTATATCAAACCCAATTTTTTCGATGTACCTTGCACCTCAGTGCACTTTGTGAGCTGAGGGATAAGCTTTCTGATACCTTTATCAAAAAAATATCCCACAGCCTCTCAAGCCCATTGTTCACGGCACTGTGAACCTCATAATCCGGTAGAAAACCTTTTTCCACTGCTAAACACCTTCAGAGAAAAGATGAAAACCAGAAGGTGCCAGGTCAGGGCTGTGAGCGCGATAGTTGATGATATTTCAACCGAATTAATCCAAAAGTTGCTTTGTGGTGTTCACTGTGTAGGGATGTACATTGTCATGCAACGAGCACATTCTCTTCGTTAATATTCCCCTTCAATTGTTCTGTATCACCCTCCATGGTGTTTTGAGAGTTTCACAGTATCGCACAGCATTAATTGTTTCCCCCAGGGGATGAGGAGAATCCCTTTACGGCTCAAAAACAAAGTTGCCATGATTTTTTGGGCTGAATTTTTTCACTGATGATGTAGACGCATAGACGCATATCGCCAACTACAATGATTCTCTTCGTCCCCGGGGTGTAGTGGGCCAACCACGTTTCATCGCCAGTCACAATAGTCAAGGAATTGTTCACCTTCCGGTTCGATTCTGTTGGCTTTGTATTGATTCATGAGCTGTTTTGGTACACACCTCGCACACAATTTTTGATAACCAAGTATTTCAGTAATGATTTCATGCAGAAGAGACCTGGAGAACTGCATCCATCTCGTTCTTCAATCTTCTTCACCATCTCAGGATAGAGGAATGCCCACTTTATACTCAAGACACCCCTCACCTCTCAGCTAGCGCAAATCGGAATAGTAGGACACATTTCAATACGCCACTACAACAACCATTCTCAACTGATTGAGACAAATGAGCGCACGTTCTGCTTCCAACACCTTGGCCTTGAATGCAGTGTTGCTAACTTTGTCGAAAACAAAACCATAAAGCATCAGAGTCTCAGTACTCCTTCTCTGTGGATATACCTCGTATATGTTGACATTTGCAAAATTTGTTTGAATTTTCCCAAAAGTATATTTTTTGAGATACTATTTTTGTATAATCTCAGTACAACCTAGTAAGAAAATCTGGCAATAACACAAAGCTAAAAACAATGAAAATTTATTATTTAGAAATTATATAGCAAATTAAACATTAATATTTCCTATCATATAGAATACTGTTGTTACACCTATCTTAATAATAATAATTCTGCCATATATTATAGGTATAAATTAAATTTAAATATAAAAATTCCATTCACATAATTACGCAACAAGAGAAAGAACAGCAATCGAATCTTTTATATATCGTTTGTGGTGGCACTAAATGGAGATCTTCTTCCTCATCATCGTCACCAGATATACTCATTTCTTCTATACTAAATGTGTCTGTCAGCTCTTGGTGAACTCTAGACTCTTTTCTGGAGAGGGGGAAGAAGTTCACTATATCTTCCTCACTAAAAACAGTGACTGATGATATTTACAAAAGAATTAAAAAGGGGAATCGAAACTAATTGTACAGTTTTTGACAGACAAATTAAAGACTACAAAAATGAAGAGAATAATATCAGGTTCTCTTCATAAAAAATTATCTTAAGCTTGAAATTGAAATTAATCGTACCTGTCATCTGTTTCCCACTGTACAAGTGGCTGATGATCTTTGGCACCGGGAATCGGAAGTCTCTGTATAGGAATCAGTCCAGGTGTAGCATTATATTCTTGGTGCAATCTTCTGGCATGCTCTATCCGGGCTTCAAGCTTTCTCTGCAACTGGCGAGATGTAGAGACTGTAGATGATCTCGGGAGGGATCTGCTACTACCAGCACTTGAAGAATCACTTCCCTAAAACAACCAATTGAATATTTAATATAGGTACGTCATAATTTTTTATTGAATGAATTATTACCCAAATTAAATTGATAATATTTCTTTAAAAGTAGAAATATATCTTAACAAACTAAATTTTAGCCATTATTTTATATTATATGAAATCATAAACTCTTTTCCGAAAATATATTTTTTTTTTGTAGTGGATGAAAAATATTACGAGTACATGTTTCGCGATATTTTAAGTCTTTCAATATAAATTATTCATATTTTAAAGATGGAGAGTACCTGGGCACTCGTTTATCATTCAAATCCCACATTATGTAAGAATTAATCTTGAGCCCAAAATATGATAATTCAGACAAATAAAGCTTTATCCATAGTTGCTTGGTTTGCAAGTTGCAGGCAATTACAAAAATATATATTACAAATTAAATGAAATTTAGTGTCGATTTAAATAAATAAAAGTAAAAATTTATTCAAAATTCCTTGCATTTAATTATTTTGTAAATTCAATAAGTTCTTTTGATTCTGAATTGCATTTCAAAGAAAAAATGTCTCCTCTATTTTATTCCTAACACGAGTAATCTTCGAATTATTTACTTATTTATTTTTGTAGCAAATACAACGTAATAATTAAGAATAAATTAAAACATTAGCTTGTATTTTGTTTTCTGGACTTTTAGTTATTACATTGTATTTAAAATTGTATTTGTAATGAAAAATTCCTATATATTTTTTAGTAAAACAAACAGTTTTAAGATTATTTTCAGTTTATTCAACTGTATGGAAAGTTGATTTCAGACTAAAAATAATACTTCACAAATGATTTGTTTTTTGAACAATATAGAAGAGACCTTTTATCTTTAAAATACCAATACCAATCACATCAACTTATAAAATTTTCAAAATACTCAGTAATTGAAATTCTGAGGGTATATCCTTGTATCTCCATCACTGGTTGATGTAATTGTATGCAAATACCACAAATTTTTATCTTTAGTTATGTCTTTACCTCAAGTTTAATTAATTTACATCAAGTCAAGATATTTACATATTCGTAAGATATCATGGTACTATTTGTTCTCCTTCATTTAAATTCGCCTCTAATTATTAAGGGAAAAAAGTACTCTTGTTTAATTTCAATTATTCAAGTCATTTTAGATAAATTTAGGATTACCTTTGAAGATGCAATTGCAGAATTTCGTAACATCAATCTCTTATAGTTTAGAATGTCACACATTTCGAACAATTTACATAAAACAGGAACTTCAGTTTTGTTGTTAAGAGAAACTTTAATATGTTTTTTTGTAAAGGAAATCTGTGCAGCACAAGAAACTGTAAACATTGAAATACATTTAAAATTTTTACGATAATATGACTTGTAGTACTTATTTTATGGCAACTGTCCAAAATGTGTGACATTTTGATGCAACTGTGATTGATGTTGAGAAATTTATTATTACACTAATTGTAACGTTGTTGTTCCTATATTTTGCACACCACCCAGTCATTATTTTTGGAAATAAAAAAATATTAAATATAAAAGTGAAGTGTCAAAAATTTGTATCAGAATCAAATAAGTGAACATCGTAAATGTGCCGAAATAAACAAACTTTTGTTTGTTTAATTTAACACTATGTACATTTTTACATAGTAGAACAGAACATTTTCTTACGATTACAGTGAAGTCTGTCTCTAATAGCAAAGGAAATATCCAAATGACTGTGCTATATCTGGAGCTTGGTAGAAAAAGGGCCAATGTCCATTGCTTGTCCAATGTTTTAAAAGTATTTCAAGGATCAAAGTCCATACATTGGCCCTTTTTATATTAAACTAAGATGGACTTAGGCCAGTTTAAAATTTAAGTAATTAAGGCTTATAATACTTGTTGACATTGGCCCTTTTTGTGATGCAAATATGTAACATGGGTAGTCCAGGAGACTCATTGGCTGATAAATGTAATTTTTGAACATTGGCCCTTTTTCTACCAAGCTCCAGATATATGATATTAATTATTTTGGTATATCTGTCTTCATGTTGCATGCTTAAGTTTTAAAAATTACATTAGATGCCTCCTCTCTATACAGCTTGCAGCCATACACCCATGTCTATCTTTCTATAAAAGGTAGAACCATCAATCATGTCACTGTAATCACGTAAACTTTCGAAATATGCTTTAGTAATAAAATATATGTTTTAATTTTTACCAGTTTCTTAAACATTTCAAAGCAAAAAATTGGAATTTTCTGTTTTTAAATATACATAGTTAATAATAAATAAAATGCTTCAGTGACAAAAATATATTTGTACACAAAAACGTGTACATATATTTAGATACAAGGCACAAATGCATCAAGGAAAACATATAAGTATCCAAGCTTACATTTGCCGTATAATTCCTAGCATAACTTAATAGAATAATCCACTAGAAAAGTCGATATGACACTGACATTTAAATGCTAGCGAAATGTAAATATCAAGTATTAGAAAGAAAATGTCAGCTCTTTGAACCATACAATTAAAAATTAAGCTACATTTAAACTTTTACACTATAAAACAATTTCAGTAAAAACTTCTTCCAGTTATACTCAATTATTATAAATTACACCCGTTTAAAATTCTAACATTTTTTATATACCTTGGATGAAATCCTTATTTTTATTATTCTATTACTTTTCACTAATATAAGGTAGTGTTTAAAATTTTTTTATCACATCTCATATTGCTAGTACGAGAATGACTTTTATTTACCTACCTCTGCACTGTTTACTTTGATTGGAAATCTAATTTTCAAAAGCTTTTGTGAAAGAAAGTGGTTTTATTTTTGAGAAAATGTCTAATAAAGTGGTAAATTAATTTTTATCTACAAAAGAAAAAAAATGCTCAGAAATCCTTAGGGAATCATAAAGATGAGAGTTATAAAGAAATTATTGCTAATTTATTTAAAAAACTATCATGTAATGGGAGTGAACATGTCTTTTAAGAAACAGTTCCTTGATTCATACCTGGACATTTTTCCTGAAAACTTAGGTGCTGTGAGGAACAAGCATGGCGAGCGTTTTCGCCAAAACCTTCACATTTTTGAAGATAGATAAGAGTTTTTGGGACTAAAGTATGTTAGGAAATTATTGTTGGTCTGTTTTAAGAGATACTGACATAGGAAGTTAAAAAGATGGAGTAAAATTAATCATTTTTATTTTTTCTTGTTACTTAAGCTACTAATTTGATTTTTTTTTATTTAATAAATATTTTCTTAAAGAGACGTGAGAGAATTTTTTCAATATTTATTTCGTACTCAGCTCTCCTAAATCTATAAGAAATGACATATTATGACAAAACTATATAAACCGTGTAAACCAGTATTATTATTATACGGAATTATTCAGATATTTTGAAGATTAATTTGTTTAACAAATTTATAAAGTAGCTACATGTATTTTAATATTTAAACAATATCATTGACAAAATAATATATATATTGATGATAGAAAACGCTATACTTATAAACACTTTTTATGTCTAAAGTTAGTTATGAAAACTATAACATAAATTAGAAGGAATCTATTAAACGATTATTTAACGTATGGTGTGCTTAACTGCTAAAGATACAGAAAAGAAATATAATAACTAGGAACTAGGAGCAAGAAGTTCAAATAAATTAAAAATATATTAAAAACTAATATTTTTAACATACCGTTGGCTTAAAAGTGGGATCCCCATTATGATCTCCGCTATCAATTCCACTATCTTCCATAACGTATGAAAAAATTTTTAATTAATACAACAAAATTTTAAAAGCCTGCTTACATTTTTAAATTAAAGTGAAAACAATATAGTTTAGTTTCAATTTGTAAAATACATGTCTCCAATAATGTTTTTATTAGATTAATGTAAACTTTCACATATGTTCTTTAGTCTGTATGTAAATAAGTCACAATATGTTTCAACTAACTGACTGTGAACATCCCTCCACAGATATGAAAGCTGTTGTAGGAAAAATCAATAAAAAGGTTTGGATATTGGCTACATAAATAACTTGGTTCTTTACTGAGCTATTTAACCAAAATTCAAAAATATCAATATACAAAAAATGCAGAACATATTAACAATGTTGAGGAACATGTAAACAGGTACTGTTAATTTAATAATTAGTATTACTACGGTTGCTAGGAAACAAATAAACACTTATGTGTCACATATTTGTCAAATAAGTCAAATTGAAATTTAACATTTCTCTTTGTATGTGAATTTTTTGGTTTTCGATTAATATTTACAATGCCTCCAGCTACAGCTACAAAGACCAAACAAACTAACTCAAAAACTGGACTAATAAGTACAAAGGTCATTACAGTTTATTTATTTTTTTTGCAAATAATTAAAATGAATCGCTGTACTTGTAAAATATTTGTAACTACAATGGATAATCTTGAACTTTGTATGATTTATATTTAAACTTGTTTTCTGTATAATCATACTAATAAAATTCATTTATTAAGAATGGAAATAGGTAGTTTTAATTGAATTAAAAAAAAAATACCTTTGTGTTGCAGAAACGACCGACCAAATTAAACACTGAAATCACTGATGATTTAGAAGAATGGAAAAGGGCCAAACAACTTTTGAAACCCAAAGATCAGTTGGAACTAGCTGACTTTGTAAGTACCTTTCATTTATTAGTAGATAACCAACACAAACTAAATTACTTGTAAAAGTTTTTTTATCCTCTGCCCAAAAAGCAGAATCATTTTATTTGTTCTCTTGATTTATCTTTATATTGCAGGAATTGAAAGAAATTATCCCTAAAATACTAACACCGACTAATCCACAAATTCCCGACAGTCTTGTAGAATTCAATTATGCTCAAGGTAAATTTTTGCTGTTACCGGCCCCTGGTAATATGGTGGTGGTATACGAGGCTCAGGGTACACTTATTCCTAAAGATTCAGAAGAAGCGAGGCAGCAGCTGATTGAACAGGGCATTGATCGTGAGTTACTTTACATAAAATATGTATGAAAATTGTATTACTCTCACTAAATCACTGTAATAATATAAATAAAACATCTCTAAATTAAAATTTGTTTACTCAAACCAAAAGATGTATATACATGCTTACAGCTGCTGAGCTCGAGATGTCAGAAAACCCTAGTGAGACGGAAATAGTTAATGAAGAATTTAAACTTGATGAAGATGCTCAAGATGCAGTAACAGAGGAGGGAAAAGAGGATGAAGAGGCACAAAAAGATGATGATGAAGAAACTGAAAAGAAGACTGAAAAACCTGATGATGAAGGAGAAGGGGAAGGTGAAGAGGTTGAAGGAGAGGTCAAAGTTGCAGCAAAGCCACAAGCAAAAGGTGGCCGACCAAGGAAACTGACAAATCAGTTTAATTTCTCTGAAAGAGCTGCTCTAACTTACAACAATCCAACTAGAGTAAGTATTTACTTACAGCAGGTGCAACTGGACATGTTAAAGGGTAACAATCATTTTAGCCACAAGAAACACAGACTATCCCACCACCCATGGCAAATTTCTCTGCAAACGTTTTACAGTGGGTCATTTATGATGGATACCAACAAGATTACGAGGCTCAACAACTTGAAAAAGAATTGGAAAGGGAAAGGAAAGAGAAAGACAAAGCACCAGTGAGTCGAATTAAAGTGGCAAAAAAACAATCTGGGAGAACGCAGCTGAGCGAAGCTGTCCAAGGAAAAATGCTTGAATGCTGGAGAGTTCTTGAGCGCATGGTTAATCAGAACACATATGATGATATAGCAAAAGGTAAAAATATTCATAAGTTGTAAAAATAGTCATGGTTATTCATTTAAAGACTACAGATACTGGGACGATCCATCTGATGAGTTCAGGGAAGAGGAAGGTACTCTTTTACCGCTTTGGAAGTTTTCTTATGACAAAACCAAGAAGAACACAGTCACAGATATTGAATGGAATCCGTACTATTATGATCTGTTTGCGGTGTGCTTTGGATTTTGTAAGTATTAGTCAGATCTTAATTTGGTTTTGCCTTTCAGAAATTAAAGATGATGATTCACATTTTTAGTGGATTTCATGAAGCCTATTGCCCAAGGGGCCGTATGCCTCTTTACCTTAAAAAATCCTTCGTTCCCAGACTATATTTGCATGACGGAATCAGCAGTGATGTGTGTTGATACACATCCAAAGTATCCATACATGGTAGTTGTAGGTTTGTACGACGGAAGTGTTTTAGTTTTCAATGTACATGCCACTTGCAAATATTCAGCCTACAGAAGTAATAATGTCACCAACAAACACAGAGGCATAGTGTGGGAGGTACACCCAATTTTTTCATTAGACAAACTATGGTATTATTTGGTTATTTTGTTCAGGTTAAGTGGGCACCAGATTTGCCGGACGGTGAACTTAATTTCTTTTCGGTTGCGGCAGATGGAAAAATAAATAATTGGATTTTAATGCAAAATGACTTAGCCGTTACTACTATCATAACGTTATTCCTAGTTAAGGAACCTGTACCTGGTCCTGATGGAACACTGCTCAGAGCAATAGGTATATGAAACCAAAAATTATTTTTATTCAACAAAATATCTGCCATTTTATGCAGTGTACAGAATGGATTAAATCGCAACACTTTTAAAAAGTGAGAGGCTTGATTTATGTGAAAAGTGGAATATTGGAAATCATTTATCATTACATATTTTGATTTGTTTAGAAGATACAGGGAATTTTTCACTTTTTGTCCTTTTTCTGGTGAAAATATTTGATTTAATATTTTTTCTTGTAAATTTTTGCATAAAACAAGTGACATATGATGTTTTTCTGTAACTTTTGGTTTTGCAATTATACCCAAACTTATACAGGGTGTTGTTAAAGTCCGTCAGGAAACTCCGGGAGGTGATTCTACGGATTAAAATAGTAACACTATGTAATGAAAATTTTTTTCGAATTGTCAATTGTTTGCAAGTTACAGCTTGTCAAAATTTATTTTTTTTTAATTTTTCTAATTAAATAACTTATTTAATTCAAGTTCGATTAGTCTCTCATTTGACATACCCACTAAATAGATGAACCAGTCAGAGAAAAGTTTCATTATGTGCCGCCAGAGGGCACTTTACCTAGAACTCAAAATTTGTTTTGTTCATAACTTTTTTCTATTGCTAACATATTAATTGTGATTTCCTGGTAAACGATTACATTTATCGGCTTGAACAAAGAGTACATTATAAAAAAATTGGCAAGCTATAACTTTTGACAATTCATTACATACTGCTAATATTTTAATCTGTAGAATCACCTCCCAGAGTTTCCTGAAAGACAAAATTTCTTTCGAACATCCATTTTTTGGTGAAAATCACATTTTAACAGCACCATTATACACAATTTAACTTTACATACAATTTTCAAACCGATCAAATAATAATATATAATAATAATAATAACAATAATAATAAACTTTGTCACATTAAAGTAAAAATTATTTTGACAGAACCATGTATACAGGGTGTATCTAAATAACACCGAAAAAATTCAAGGGGCGATTCTCCGATGAAAATTAATAGGGGTCTTTGGTATAAAATTTTTTGAAAAAACCCTCCCCTGAAAAGTTACGCCCCTCCTAAAATTACAAAAAAAAATTGTTTTTCTTTTTTATCTTCCATGTACATCAAGCTAAAGAAACCAAACTTGGTGAACATTATCTGTCAATAAAACTACACTTTTTGAAATTTTTTCAACCCTGAACTATTTTTGTAAGGGGTTGAAATAATCAATCCCTATGACATTTTCGGCAAAATACACTCGCGTTAAACTGCTCATCTTTTTAAAAATACATTACAATACATTTATTTTTTTTGTCATAAATCCTTAACTTTTCGAAGAAACTTGAAGAGATCAAAAAGTTAGTAAATGAATGGGGTTTATTAGACATATTTTTTAAAAGGAAAAAATTTAATCGAAAAAAAAATTATAAGAAAAAATGTCATAGGGGTTGATTATTTCAACCCCTTACAAAAATAGTTCAGGGTTGAAAAAATTTCAAAAAGTGTAGTTTTATTGACATATAATGTTCACCAAGTTTGGTTTCTTTAGCTTGATGTACATGGAAGATAAAAAAGAAAAACAATTTCTTTTTGTAATTTTAGGAGGGGCGTCTTTTCAGGGGAGGGTTTTTTCAAAAAATTTTATACCAAAGACCCCTATTAATTTTCATCGGAGAATCGCCTCTTGAATTTTTTCGGTGTTATTTAGATACACCCTGTATAATTTATCAAGTATAACATTACATTCGGTCTCTATGTCATAAGAAGACTTATCAGAAATTAAAAGGGAAGTATCGTCTGGATATATATTTTAAAATGAATATTAGAAGCAGTGGTGGTTATGTCATTAATATACAACAGGAACAAATAGGATCCAACACGGAACCCTGTGGTACACCCAAGGTTATAGTCTGTGTTCTAGAATTTATGTGTTGAACACTGGAAGAATCTTTATGTTTAAGACTAACATATTGACTCCGGTTCTTCAAAAATGAACGTATCCAATCTAATGAAATTCCACGTGATCAATAAATTGATAATTTTTTAAATAGTATACTGTGGTCAAATCCCTGCTAAGGTCACAAAAGATCCCATCAGGGCATTCTCCCGCCTCCATAGACTAGAACTAGCACAGCCTCATAAAATGAATGAATGGCACTACTAGTTGATTTTTCCAATTGAAAGCCATGTTGATGTTCTTTTTTGCTAATTCATAAAAGATATGTCTGTTCAAAACGGAATATTCAAAATTTTTTAAAACAGTGATGAAACCGATATTGGTCTGTAATTATTTAAAGAAAAGGGATCGCCTTTTTTATAAACGGGCGTGACTTTCCCAAGTTTCATGTTTGATGGCAAACAGCCGCTTTCAAACGATAAGTTTATTAAAAAAAAACCAAAGGTTTTATAATGCTGGGACATAATTTTTTAAATACATGTAGCGGGATATCATCTGGAGCAGTGGACCACTTGTTTTGTGATGATGCTTGCTAGAACGTATATAGATTCATATTTAGTTGCCTAAGCATTTTTTTAGACTTGACTTCTTAAGAATATTGTTGCAAGAGCAAAATTATCTTATTCTTACATACAACAGAAAAAGGAAATAAAGCTGATGATTTTATAAGTTTGTCCTAAAGATTAAATTTGAAAATGTTATGAATTAGCTGCAAAATATATGTATTTGAATAATCATCTCAATATCTTGGTGGATTAGTCTTGCCACCTTCTTGCATTACAAATCATTTTTTAATACACACGTCTCGAAAAAACTTGTTTATGTAAATATATTATATACATCATTTGCAAGGAAATTTTATGCAGATTTACACAAATAAAAATTATTCAGTTCATAAAAAAAATTACACAAATTGAAACACTCTATATCATTTATTATATTGAGATGCGGTTTTTGTCATTAAACTTTTCTAAAAAATCGAGCCTGTACATCTTATCAACTGTTTATCTCCTCAGGTAATATGAAAAACTCCCTAAGTGTCGAATTTGGCTCATCTTGTACGTCACTCTTGATCATTTTTAGGTTGTGCTAGTTGTGTAAAACTTCATCCAAAAAATCCAATAATATATTTAGTTGGGACAGAAGAAGGACTGATTTATAAGTGTAGTACACAATACAGTTCCATGTATTTACTAACATATCACGCTCACCAAATGCCAGTGTATAGGATTGATTTTAATATTTATAATACAGATATATTTATTTCTGGTAGTGGAGATTGGAGGATAAAAGTCTGGGAAGATAATCGACTGTAAGTACATAATGGTTTTAAAGCTTTCACTGCTCAGGCTGTTATCTAAGGCACCATGGTTTTTCGGGTTTTTGTGCCAAGACCTATGTAACTGATTGTCTTCAGTTACAGACTTACGTGGCACTTTCTTAGCCTTAACTCAACTTTGACCTACGCTTGTTGTTCTCGGACTAGACTCTATGAGGGCAAACCCGCAATCTAGGGTTCTAGCCCATTCTGATATTGACTTCGGTTCTTGTTTGTTGGAAGGTTGCTACAGACAAAATTGCTCCTCAAACAATAGTGATCCTCTGAAATATTCCATACAGGCCTCTGCAACTGGTCTCAAACCAATGATTCTAAACATTTCGCCATTCAAAGCGCATTATAAGTCTGTAACTGACTGCAACCAGGTACATAGGCCACAGCATATATTGTACCTTAAATGACTGTAAGTAGAAAATCATGCTTAAATTCTGTTTCAATAAAGCCTTTAGATCGGCAGATTGACAAATGTCATTTTGTTTTTGACATTTTTAGATATTCATACATATTTACATAATCAAAATTTAATTGTTTCCAATATTTCAACTTCAAATATACAAAATAATATATTTCAAGGTCATAATAGGGATTTTGCCCTAAAATGGTGGTTGACTGCGATACTTTATCAATGTAGGGACTTTATGTTTCAATGTAACCATGCCATCTATATAATTTTTAGTGAACCTTTGTTTGTGTTCGATGTTGGAGATAGGGTAGGAGATGTTAAATGGGCGCCATATTCATCGACAGTTTTTGCTGCCGTCACGACAGAAGGAAAAGTATACGTTTTTGATTTAAATGTAAATAAATATAAACCAATTTGCATCCAAGCAGTAGTGTCCAGAAGAAGAAATAAACTGACAAGAATCACATTCAATCCTAAACTGCCTATAATAATTGTCGGAGATGATAAGTAAGAAGTTTAATTTATTTCAACATTTTTTAAATATTTCTTATTTTAGAGGGTGCGTTACCACTTTAAAATTATCCCCAAATCTCAGGATACCATGCAAGGCACCCAAAAAACAGCAGCATTTAGACCAATGGACTCTACAATGCATGAAGCTGGACAAATTGTTATCATTAGTTAGAGAACCCGTGACATTAAATCTTCCTGAAGATACGGCAGGATCGGAAGATTCATAAAACCAGTATATTTTTATGATTTTATTAACACTGAATAAACTTTACATATACATATTTTTTAAAGGATTAGTGAGAATTTTAAATACATAAGCAATTTGGCACATTTTATCTATGTAAGAAATTTTTTTAGAACTTATTTACATTGAGCAAAATATTTCTGGAATATATTTACAATAAGCAATGTTAAAATTACCAAATAAATGTCTTTTATACATACAGTTGTCTTATCTTAGTACCTAGAACATCAAATCAATATATAGTTTAAAAAATATATGGATAGTTCCAGTATTACAAAGTAATCAAATACTTTTTCTGTTTTCTATCGTCCTACATGATTTTTATAGAATTTATGTAATTTACTAATTCAAAAAAAAAAGGTTTTATAAACTATACAAAGATAAAATTCAAAAATAACTTACAAATGTATAATGTGGAAGTTGTTTCATTATTATACACAATTTAAATTACGATAAAAATCGACCACAAATACAAATTTTTTTTCTCTAAAATATTAAACATACTGTAAGGTATTCCAATGATTGCCTACTTGAATCATACTGAAGTCTTATTCTTTTCTGAACAGTCTATTTTTTATTTGCCATCTCTGTTATTAAATGAGATACACTGTTGCATTAAAATATGCCAGTTTATATAAGTTTTGCACTTAGCGCATACTCGGTATATCTTGTACTGTCGATTCGATTACTAATGGATGGCAATAATCTCAGTGCACATTAAATATAAAAGTGCAAATAAGTTGACAATGGTATTAGAAACGATCAACTACTACACTGGTCTCCCTTGATGACATTGAAAACATGGTCAGAAAAAAAATAATAAACAACATTGATCAAAGAAAGATCAATAGATATTACATACTACATATTACATTACATACTTGAAACTAGATGGTTTCAGGTATATCAGTGATGTAAAGCCATTATTAGAACTATCTTTGTTACTGATATTATTTTTATGTCATGCTTTCATAGTGCCCGAGAAATTGCAGGTCACTCTTTGCCAGTGTGACCTTGTTGGAGACTTAGGCATTAAATAACCATGACCATTCGCAGATGTAGATCTCTGTAGTTAAGACATCAAAAAGAGATTTTCATCCAAGGATTTTTTTAAGTGGTCAATCTGTACTTGCCTGCCATTCATCATCATTCTCCCCTATGGTATACTGAAGAGGACTAGTATGTCTGACACTGGTCTATGTCTAGTGAATTTGGCTAACCAATTATCCTGACTACTAGATATTGGCATAGTTCAATGTTGGTCAAGATATGTACCCCGCAGAGTAGACGTTTCCCACAATATCATCAGTTAAATTTGTCTGTTTTAATTTGACTATGAACCTCAATTGATAACACAGATGAAGTGAATAAGGAAGAAAATTGTTCAGAAAAGACAGGACCACAGATTAGTTATTCATTATTTTAACTGACCCATTCTACAGGGTGTTTCAAATTCCAAAAGAAAAAAACTTATTTTATGTATATTTGTACTGAATATTTTAATAACAACAAAAAATTTCTATATTAGTATAGCTACTAAGAAATAAACCGTAATTTAAAAGAAAAATTAGACTTCGCAAAATAATTTGAAATTGGAGTTATTTTTAATGTAGGGGTAAACGAAAAAAAAAAATTTTAAAAATTCGTTTCAGATTCAAACTTGGTTCAATCATTATTTCAGGCAAAAAGAAATAATATTTTCCAAATTTAGCAGGTCTCAAATGAAGCGTTTTTTGAAAACCTATAAGTATAAACAAAAGCAAAAACTCCTGTTGGAGAGCGCTGTTTAATACACCCTATTTTACTTTCTCTAAGAAAATTCCCTTGGAATTTTTTAAACAGAAGAGTAATCAAATCAAATTCAGTCCCAATTCAATCATAGTGAAATAAAATTGCATACAGTGTAGACTTTAAAACATCATTATATTCAAGGAAATTGTAACTTACTAACATCAGGATACTCAGGATTCTCAACAGCACCTTTACCGTATTTTAATTCTAAGAAATCACGGATATTATTAGGACTTGGCACATTACGACCAGCAAACTCTATACTAGACATTGGATGTAGGAAGTTATCAGGAAATTCCATCCTTTTATGACTAGTAAACCAAGAGTCTTTCGTCATTGTTCCATTTTTAGAATAAAATGGGAAAAGGTTTACATGTATTCTGTTAATTTTACTGAAGTGCACACGGTAAAAATTACCTTCGGTAGCTTTTTCCCATAGGAAACCCTTTGAATCTACCACAGGTTTGTCTTTGGCTTTTTTTAACCATGTGCACCTTGACAAGTCCTCGCGGATAAAACCAATATCTACGTTATGATCCCAAGGCAGTATATCCCCACTTCGCATTGCTCCCAATAGACTGCCTGCCTCCAACCAATAACGTACTCCGGCTTCATCTAAATTGTTGAAAATGTGTTTTGCAGTTTTCCTTAAATTTGCCAAACAGCAAGGAGGTGTCCACTTCTTCTCGAATAAATAGGAAGGCATTGATTCTAATACTGTTCCAAAACATCTTGGAGTATCCTTAGAACATCCATACCACTCGGTAGATCCTGTTTCACGAACAACCTGTTTTATTCCAAATAACTCATAAAATTTCCTCAGCCTTTGTGTAACAGCCTGTTTTTGTTTCCATTGAGCATGATGAGAACGTAAAACTGGTTTACCATCGTGAAAAGATAATCCATTTACTATATGAACCTGAAAAGATGTCCATTATTCAAGAAATTTCTTTTCTACAATTTTGAGATTGTACTTAAATACAAAATGAATAGAAATATTTGAACTTACCTTTAACTTAGAAACCGTTGTCTGAATGTATAAGGACTCAGGAAATGGTGCAATGAAAGCATTTGGTAGCTTCCTAAGAGAGTCAGTTTCCATTAAGAGAACATGCTTTCCTGACACTCCATCACACTCTAAACTTTTTGCCGAGTTGTACTTAAGCATCCACTCACGAATGTTTATGTTAATTTTTAAACAAATTATACTTTTCCTCTGGTTTCTCACAGGTGCCACAACCATACCTCCTTGTCTTTTACTAATTTCGTTAATCAATACTTGCAAACTCTGTCTAGAAGTTAATCTGGTGGAATCAGGTACAAACAACACATACTTTGTTTTAATCTGAGCAATAGGGTAGCGATCCATGAAAGAGCTTTTTAAACTCGGAGACAAATTTATAAACTTTACATTTGGCAGCGAATTATTTGTTAACATTATGTCTAAAGGGGGGTAAGGAAGTTCATCGTACAATATAAATAAATGCATGGTAGGAAAAATATTTAAAAACGAATGAGCTGTTAACGTTACATCATTTTCGTACAACTCAAAGTCTCTAATTACCACTGTGACAATTTTACCCAAATGCTTTGTAGGCGATTTAGTAACCGTTCTTGCAGTTGGCATAGTTTCAGTCTTAAAGGTAACAAATAAACGGAAAACGAAATAATATAACAAAACAACTTTAATTAGTATGACAAATAAAAGTAAAAAATGTATAGATATCAATTTAAACCGCATATCAAAACAAAAAGAAAATAAAACTTACGAGAAAATAAAAATAATATCCAACGTCCCGGATCTTGGCTGTAAACTAGCATTATCCATTTCTTTAAAATCAAGGTAACATGTCACATTACTGTTTTATATTTCATTGCTTTTACAAATTACAAATAAAAATGTAATGTAAAAATTTTGACTTTAACACCTAACACCTAACCTTAAAATTGTTGACAATTCAAATTGACAAATGACAATTGACATTACAGAACAGGGAAAGAAGATAAAAACGAAAATAAATCAAGCCAAGGGCTATTTCTAAGGTATGTTCATATTGCAGGGTATTACGTCATTATGGACATTGCATTGCTTAGATTTTTGCACTGGTGGATATGTTATATAGGACAAGAACAAGAGTTTCGTTCAATCGTACACTAATACATATATGTATATGATCTGCACACTACCAATAGTTCCCTTGTGTATGCAATATGCATCTAATTGTTAACATTTCCAACAGTATTAGGAGATGTGAGGTAGTCCACGACCAGGGGATAGTACATTTAATATCGTCAGATCTAAGAAGACTTAAAAGTAGGAAAATCGTTACTTAAACTGTTATAATGTGGTAATAAAATATGTAATAAATAATAACGATATAAATGCGTAATTTGTTACATCTGAGGGCATCACTTGCAATGTACCCGGGATTCTGACCTGATGGCCAACAAACGGTATTAACATCTAAATGCTCTAGATATGGCTCTTTTTGTCCTTTCATCAATTGGAATTAAAAAAGGACAAAATATATCTACATATAAAAACTCAAAAATAAAGAATTTGAAAAAAATGGGAAATACTCGCACATAATCACTACCTAACTAAAAATATTTCTGTAAAAAATATTAAATTTTGTTTGGAAATGCCTGAAATTAAATTTAACTCAAATTTAATTATTTTTTTCTATTTGTAACAAAGCGCTGACAATGCATAATCAATTTTATTTTTTATTCATAATTTTTATTCATAGAAAACATTGTCACCTAATTCAAAAAAAGTTTAACGCCTCAAAACTTTCAATAAGACATATTCTCCACTACCAGTAAAACCAGTAGAAAATAAACAAGTAGGGTAGGTTTTAAATAATTAAAATTGAAATAATGAAATTTGTTTTTATTTGAAAGATACATTTTAATGTGCCATTTTGACATATAATTAGACATAAATACATACGTAATTATAATTTTAATATTAATTTACACCATTAAGCTAAAAATACTTGTCAGCCTCTTTTTCGGTATACCTGATTGGTAACACTTTAAAAATCTTATTAATATGACCATCAATTGCATTTGTGAAAAATAAGAAGTTGACGAAAAGAGACTACCATGTGTTTTCAGGTTAACATTGTTTAAAGAATCATTTTATTGCAACAAATAAAATCTTACAAAAAAAATAAAACTTAGAAATTTTCTGCTTGAAAAGTACAAGGTTTTCATTCAGCTGTATTAAAAGATTTTGAATAAAACAAAAAAATTATACAAATAAAGTTTTAAGAATATTTTGGATTCATTAAAATAAACAAATAAATGTCAGAGTGCATAAACAAAGCCAATTTCAATTTTTGGATGGAATGCCCGGCATCTGTATAGTTTTATATATTTAGATAAATTGCTTTCATTGTTATTTCTTAGCAAGATTATAATGCTATAAAGTTATGATAGATATATCTCTAATAATAACGGCGATATAACTAATAGAATGTGTATATATACAAATAACAATGAACAAAGATTTGGTCACCTATCCATATCTCTATTATTATTGATAAATTATCTAACTTTATCACTGTAATCTAAAGAAAGTCATTTTAAGGGGGGCATTCTTGAGTAATAAAGTCAATCTTGCAACTTCACTCCACTATATATATATACCTATGAAGGGGTCGCTGCCCCACGGTGTGCAGGAAGCAAATTTTATTCAAACGAAAATGTCGAGAAAAACTGCTTATACAGGGGGCTTGCTACTTATAAATATATGCAGAATCAATAGTTTTTAAAATCTGATTAGATCATTTTAAGCTTTTTTTGGAAAAAATGTAAAAACATAATAACAGTGATAATTCATCGTATGAGAATAATATAAAAATTATATATATGGGTAAATATGTTAGTATATAATATAATATGTGTATAACTAGGCACACACATACTCACTTACCCACCCATATACATACATATTATTATATATAAATGTTTACTTAAGCAAATAGTTAATGGAAAAATTTAAATAAATACATGTATGAAAATCATAATTCCGTGTAAACCTTTAGTAGTAATTATTGAACATAATTGTAAATTTAATAAACTTATTTTTTTCAAGTTTATATACTTATACATAAGACATATATACATAAGAATAAGATATATAAAACATATAACACTGTATTACTATTTTTGTTTGAAAAACTTAAATATTTAAAGATTAAAAAGATACAACTGCTTTTTTCTATTTTGGTGAATATGCTGGATTATTTATTGATTTAACTTTTCTTCTATTCCAATGTTTCAAAAATTCCATATGAATAGATTCTCCTGCCTGCTTAGACCAGATACCAAGTCCATCTCCATTTAGATAATTCCAGGCACTGCGTAAGATGCTCTAGTGTTACACGAACTTTTAAGGTTTTTGAAAGTTCGGTAGATTCAAAAATTGTTTTCAATTCTTTGATTATTTTTCCAGATTATCGCCCTTCTTTGTAGAAAAACAGCTATTTACTATTTTATTCATAATTTTAAGTGTGTTAATAAATGGAACCAAACTTAAAATTCCCACGTTACTATATGTACATATATAGAAGGATCATCTAATTTATCCACGTTTTCCAAAAGAGTATGACAGGAATTCCCTTCAAATGTTTCACCATGATAACTTCTTAAGCTTCTTTGGCCAAATAAGTGCCTTTTCTCTACCAAGGATTGGAACTAATCCGTCCCAAAATAAGTGGTTGACGAATCCTTGCATGCAATTCTGGAATGATGCACTTTTTTATCACACAAACATCATCATTTTCTTCTAACAATGGTAAATTTATAGTGCTATGGCACTCTTTAGCTCTTTTTAAAAGTGCATGTTTATTAAATTTACAATTTTATATTCAATAATTACTACTAAAGGTTTACACTGAATTATGATTTTCATACATGTGTTTATTTAATTTTTTCCAACTACTTGCTTATGTAAACATGTATATATAATAATATGTATGTATATGGGTGGGTAAGTGAGTATGTGTGTGCCTAGTTATACACATATTATATTATATACTAACATATTTACCCATATATATAATTTTTATATTATTCTCATATGATGAATTATCACTGTTATTATGTTTTTACATTTTTTCCAAAAAAAGCTTAAAATGATCTAATCAGATTTTAAAAACTATTGATTCTGCATATATTTATAAGTAGCAAACCCCCTGCATAAGCAGTTTTTCTCAACATTTTCGTTTGAATAAAATTTGCTTCCTGCACACCGTGGGCCCTCCGAAAATCACTAGAAAACGAGTCCAGTGATACAATATTTGGAAGGTATTATGTATTATTATCTTTACAGTGACATGACAGGTACTTTTTAACTTCAACAATTTAAGAAAAAACTAATCTCCACAAATTTTAGTCATCACATTTTTCTCTAAGCTACCCCTCGTAGTGGAATGAAGTTGCGAGATTGACTTTATTACAGAAGGGTACTCCCCTAAAAGTCTACTTTACTACACACCATTTTCGTTAGACACCCTGTACATAAAAATATTGTATAGGCTGTCCCATTAAAAAAAAAGTTGCTTTGTTTCTACAGTCTACACACTATTTGACAATCATTTGTTTGCTCTCAATTGTTTTTTCTAATTCCTAATCCCCCCTAAATGAGGGTCAAAATATAACTGACAACCTTGTACAAAATGTTTTTTTAAATTTTTTATCTCGCTAACACTCAAAAACAAATTTCTTGGAACAAAGTTTTTTTTTAACAATAAAATTAATTTAATTACACAACAAAGTAGTAACGATTTCATTATCACATTATTTGGTATAACTACATACTAAAAGTTGAATGCCAATAAACATATATTTTCAATAATTGACTTTATTCATAATATACTCCCGTATCGGAATACTGTCCCTTTACCTCTGGCACCAAATATAAATTTATAGAATTTTACCATAAAGTGACTAGTGCTTTTTTAATTCGAAAAATTCAATACTGAACAATTTCTTATTAATTCAATTTTTTTAGGATGCCTTCTTTCTTTAACAAAAAATGTTTCTTTGGTAACAATTATTTTAATGCTTAAATTACATATAAAAAAATTGGCATTGCAGAAAGGCACATAAATATCTTTTAATTTAGTAAATATGTTGCCTAATTGCTTAACATTTAAAATAATTGTAGACCGTAGTTCAAAAATGGGATGGGGATGTGTAAATAGTTCAGGACGATTTTCATGTAACTTATCCCATTCCTGCATCAGTCTATAGCAGGGGATAAGTGATTTTATCTTATCTTATAATTTGGTCTGTTAAGCCCACAGATTTCATATTTGTATCTGACAAAGAGTACACTTTTAAATACAGATTTACATTATTATAAGTATATATTTTTAGATATACATCTGCAATTATCTATTTAAAAAAGATTTCCCCTTCTTGCTCCAGGGTTCTCAATTTTCCTAAATACAAATGACTTTTCATTCATATATATTACCTAGCTAAAGCATTCTCATATAGAAAAGTAGTAAAATAGTTTGGTCTTTACGTATCAAATTTTTTACCATTTTATTAAAACTAAAATGTTACATAACTCTAACAAACTTAAAAAATATCATTTTCTATGTTTGTCCTTTAATAACAATCTAAAAACTGTTTGAGCAATTTTTTCATAAGTCATAAACATTAGAGCTGCAGAAAGAACTGTTTGCAACATTTTACTTTCTAAACCTTGATATAAGCCCTTGAGACCATTATTTTTTACTACCAAAAATAATAATGTAGCTGTATTTATTTTTTTATTCACATATAATCTCTGTCTTGTCTGTGCTAACTGTAGGGGATAAGTTAATACAGTAGCTACGGTTTTTGAAAGAGCACCTAAAAGGAAAAATGCCGTTGCTGAGTTAAGAGTAACTTTTCGTTTTAAAGATTCATATACTGTAAAATGTATAACAGGATTAGAAACTAAAATCAAAGAAGGCCCAATGCCTTTCCAAAGGCCTTGTAATCCTTCTACTTTGGCAACATGTACCAAACCATCAATCAATCCATTGTATAGTACTTCTTGTGGCAATTTCAGTCTACTATTAACAACCCACAAAGGTGTGGTTAACAATACATTTACAACACCAGCTATTGTGCTTATGACTAGATCTGTTTTGGCATTTATTTCTACATATTTTGGCAATAGGCTCTTTAAACCATGAAATGTATAAAAATATACAAAATTTGATATTCCTGCACTTGTTATCACAGGTTTTATACCTCGGTATAAAGATTCACTGGAAACACCATACGGTATAAATATATTAATTTTACACAAATACTCCGTTATATACTTACATTCCTTCTTTTCTTATCACATGTAATATTGCCTGGATTGTCGACTTATCTACTAATTCCTTATCATTTGCTAAAAAAAAACTCAATGAGAAGGCTAAACTTTAATATTAATTCATTATTCAAATATTTAAATCTTGTTTATGCCAATTCTATAATACATGTCCTTGGAATTTAAAAAATAAAATTAAAATTTTAAATGCTGAAATAATTATATTGTGACATTAATCACAAAAATTGTGGAGTGCAAGAATGCAAGAAGGGTATAAGCACCAATTTGTAAATTCTTCAGGAGAAGCTAATGAAGTTTTACGTTACTAATTTTTTGTTGTCTTATCATATTTGGCGGAATAGTATGAAATTTTCATCTGGGTTAGAGTGAAATATTCATATAATTAATGATAATGTACCCTAAAATTTTATTTTTTATTTATAAATTTACATCATCAGGTGGAAGAGAAGAGGATAAGTATTACTCAAAATGTTTTTATATATATATAATTATTAGATATAGACACACTTATTATTACTTACAAAAATAAGTATATACAAAAAAAGGACTGAGAGACAAATACCACCAATTCAGAAAACCAACACATATTTGGAGCAAGAACGGATTAAGTGACATGTATTTTAACTTATCCCGTTTTTACACCAGTGATGTATCAAAAAGGAAGCATTATCTTGCTTAAAAAAAATCATTCTACACGTAGCATTAAGTATATCAACATAATACCTAATAGTACGTAGTAATAGTAATAGAAATTTACTAATATGTATAAAAAATTCACAGAAAATGTTCTCTAGATTTTTTGCAGAGATAAACAGCGTTGTAAATATTTAAAACCCCACCTACCTCTTCTTTCGGTATATTGTTATATCGGAACTAAAAGCTATTTAGAAAAGGGATATTTATTACTTACCCTGAATACGAAATTTTACATTATCTAAAGGATAAAGGCATGTTAGAGCAACTACACTTCCCTAAAACGTGTGTAAAATGAATCGATATATTAAAAAAAACATATTTGGATACTCACTGTAGCACCAGCAGTAGCATGAACCAAGCTTTTATAATTTAATAAATTCTTCATTGCGTATGTTTAACATTTCAGTTTCAAAACTACATTAGGTTTGATTTACTACTTATAAAATGGAAACAGAAATGACTATTAAGTATTTAGTTCAAAGGTCATGAAATTAATAATTACCTAGGTACCAATTTAAATATTCAATATCACTTTTAAATCACGCAATTAAAAAAGGTGCGTATCTAACGCATATTAATCATGTAGAATATACATAGGTATTTATATCTCTGCTTTTACATAGTTAATATAGTATTAAAAAAATAAGGTTATGTTTAGTCTCTGTAAAAAAAAACTTTGACGGTGAACTAGGGCTCTAATAAAATTTTTGGAACTCTGGCACATATCTAAAGAGAAATTGATTGTTTAATGATGAATAAGTTTTTTCACTGTCACATTAGATTTAAATTGAACATTTTGCATTTACCGCCTATTAATTTACGGCAAAATAACAGACTAAAAAAACACAGTTTACCAACTAAAAAAACATTCAACATTCAATAAAAAATAAAGTCTTCTTCTTCGTTTTAATTTTATAACTTTCATCCAATTGTTCATTACTCCAATCAGGGAGACTAGATAGTGTGTAGATAGTGTGTAGTGTAGATAGTGTGTGTGTGTGTGTGTGTGTGTGTGTGTGTGTAGATAATGTGTGTCTCCATGACTCCAATGTTCTACTAGAACTAAACATTTTATTTTTCTCACGTCCTTGGGAACTTTGACGACGAGATCATTGGTGGATTTAGTGTTTTTGTACTTTTCTATTTCACTTTTTTGTTGTTTCAATTATAAAAAATGGTGAGATTAGATTTATTTTTAAGATCCTTCAAATAATTTTTGTACTAAATATTTTTTTCAATTTAGTGCAAGTCTTGAGAAATTTAAGTTGGCACATTGAATGATTGAAACCGCGCCATTATTCCATGGCTAGAAATTGGCCTCAATGATTTGGGATCGAAGGGGATTATCCCTCTTTATCCTGCCTCATCTCGTGTAGGCCTGGACAGCCTTTGTAGGTGGGCCCCATCCGTCGTCTACCCCGACCGCAAATGCGGCCGGTGTAGGCGCTTTGTGGGACCTCCTTTTGTCCTGGCTGGGCCCCGCCGGCTAGGGCCCTTACTTCTGTCGCTCTTCTTGCTTCGCCGGCTCGTCAGTGTAAACCCCTGTGTCATGTTTATGTGTGGTATGGTTGGGTAGGGTAGTGCGGTTATGCAGCCTGGGATGCGCTTTGCTAAGGTGGCCCTTAGCCCAGCGCGGGAGGGGAGGGGTAAGGAGGGTATGGGGTGTGTGTGTGTGTGTGTGTGTGTCGTTGTCTTCGTTTCTTGATCCTGGCTGTCTCTGAAACAGAAAAGGTTAGCGGGCAGGGGGGGGGTCATTGGGGTGGTCACCCAGGGTCAAAAAGTTGGTGTCTAGGTCTTTTGTGTTTGTCGGTCACGTCGGGTACGTAGTCAACGGCTTGCCTGAGGAGGAGGGGATTGTCATGTCTAGCGGCTACGTCAAACCGTTTCTCCGCGTTTTGTCTTATTGTCTGTGTAGGATTGAAACCGTGCATTTATAATAAACTTATACATATTTTTCAAAAAGTACAAGTACATTTTGATTTTTTTTACTCAACATTTTTCAATTATTTTTTTAAGTTACTGTTATAAACGACAAAATTGTTAATTAAAAAATAGAATATGCAGTATGCTGCAACACGTACATTATTCGAAAGAACTTGGGAAGAAAAAAATATTTTCAAATCATTAATTAAACCCCTTTTCAGACCGCTCCTGACCGCGGACCCACAAAGGTAAAGGTTTATCCAGAATGAATCTGGACCTACCACAGTATATGCGGTCATTAACCCAGCTTTTAATGCCTTTTTAATCCGTACGAGCTACATAGAATAAAGACAACCTTTTAGCTAGACACGTGAACGAATAAGATATTTATTTACATTTTAAATATTAAAAAGTATTATTTATTTTGTTAATAAAAACAAATGTAAAATGATAATAATTGTTTTCGAATGTTAATTTATACTATTTAGTATTTTTAAGATTGCTAAAGTATTTACTACATTTTATAATAGGCCCATTCAGTGATATATAATTTTAAACTTTTTCTTTCATTTTCTGATAGTATTTAACCACCTAAATATATCTTTAAAAAATTAGGTCAATAGGATTAATAATAAGTGATATATTTAATTCTAAATTTGTAAGACCATTAAAAAGGTCAACACTGCGGGAGAACAAGTATGATGTCACGATACCGGCCACTCGGCGATCAAGTCGCGAGCAGTCGGAGAGATGTGTAGATATTTGCTACACTCTTACCTACAGTGTAGGAAAGTACCGAAAGATCCACTTCTTATTTGTGGAAGGGCGAATGGGCGTTAACTATTAGACGCCTTCATTATAGCCATCCATGTTTATCACATGGATTTCTATGGCTTACTTTATCGCTCTCACGTAACTTCTGATAGACCATCGGTACTTTCCTATTGCAAATATGCAAAAAAATTTCTACTGAATGGGCCTATTGAATACGATTTTATTAGGATAACATTACGTCTAATTATTCAGTTTGTAGTACATATACCTTATTGTATGACTTATTGCTTTTCATTGAATATGGTACCTACCTATTTAAAATGACACCACGGTTAAAAAAAACACTCACTTGTTAGCCCATAACTGTTATTAAAGTTTTAGGATCCACTGCACTTTGATTTTGAAACCAATTGCAAAATATTAGAGCTGTTTCGCTTCGACCTTTGAACGCTCTAAATACGTCAGCGCCTTCCGTGTCGCAAAGTACGGTGCTGAATTAACGGGAGTTAAGGAGTAATTTGTTTATTTTTTAAAAGGTCGAGTAAATTTTTTTTTCGATTTTCTGTCTATTAGGCCTTCCGAATATGTGGTCAAAAGACATTATGACTGAATCACCCTGTATGTAATCGTATTTTTGTAATTTTTGATATTTATGATACGTCTAGTTTGGACCTTGAATAAAAATGCAAAGTTTATAAATTACCGATCTCGTGAGTGTCGGACTCGAACGTTACCGACTACACCATGTGCCATGTGCCCAGTTGAAAAAAGTGTCGCATCTAGTGGACTAAGCTGGCAGTCTCTGCTGGCAGGTCTTTTCTCTGTTTTGTGCTGGCAGGTAAAACTTCAAATGTGATTATCTGTACACATAAAATTTGATATTTGAACAAGACGTTTCATAAGATATGAGATATTAATGAGTGTTTCGGTTTCTGTATGTAATTATTTACAAGCCTTTTGATAGAATTTTCTTATTTGATATGTCGACAGCGTGGATGTTTAAAAATCATCCATCCGGTCACAGTTCTGTGGTTTGTGCAAGTTTTAGGTAAATTAATAAGTAAATATAAAAACAAATGTGATTTGATCTAATTTATTAATAAATTTATAAATTTAACAAACAAAATTAACTTTAAAAATTATCCACGTATAATACTAACAACATACTAACAAACTAAATACTTTTGATACTTTAAGAAATGGAAATGAATTATATTTGGTGGCATCATTTGGCATAGGAAGACTGGATTTTTAATTTACTTTAACTTTCTTATTTGCGGTTAAAGAACATGCAAATCTATACAATAATGGGAAATAGTCTATGAAGAAGTAAATTGTTCCTAGATACAAAATTATTGCTAAGGTTAAGACGAGATCAAATACTGCTGGTTTCACACTGAAACAAAAATTACTATTAAAATTTGTTTGCGATATGAATAAATTTATAAAATAATTCAGGCACAGCCTCAAACTAATGCCATTTTGGCCTATCAGATAATGTGATACCTTCTGTAAAGATTAAAGATGTTAAAGGTTAAGGTTAAACAGAAAATAATATTTACCTTCTGTAAAAAATGTAGTATAGTGGACCTAAATAACCTTAATTCTAGGTACAGCTGACATCACCCTTCACAGCGATATGAGTGGTGCAGTGCTCAAAGAGATTTTATCAATGGCCGGAACTTTTGAAAGTATTCTACTTGAAAAATCAAATTCATTTTAAGCAACTTTAATTGAAAAACAATTTTTGAAAAATTGTTTCTTTTGTATACTTTTTCATTTACTTAAGTGATAACTTTATTTTTGTGTCAAGTCGAATATTACTTAGAAATGGATGTTATTAAATAACTGTAAAATAATAACTTATTTTCGATTTTTAAAATTATTATGGACATCCTTTGAAATAACAATCTTTTTGTTTTTTATGAATTTTTCATTAAAAAATTAAGTCCTAGTTTAACCACAGCACATCTCATTTACATGAACTATACAATCCCTTTTACAGGACCAAGATATGTTTTCTGGTTTTTTAGATCTTACAGGGGCAGTAGCGTAGCTGTGAAAAGTTTGAAGGAAACTTCTATTATAAACAAAAATTAAAATTTTGCATGTTGAATTGGGAATATATTTTATTCTATTCCCTTCGTTTCCCCCCTCTGGCTGGACCAATTTCCTGGAGAATTTTGAACAGAACATCCTGTAAGATTAAATTCATTATCGTTCGCATTATAATTACAACTCGCACGACTGCAACTAAGAAATATTTAATAGATAGATCTTTTTTGACTTCTGCGAGTGCTTCCTTAGATTTATCAATCAATGATTTTATTTCTTTTACGATAATATTTCTTAGTTGCAATCATGCGAGTTATAATGTGGATGATAATGAATTTAATTTTTTTGTTAATAAACAGTTACTTTTAAAGCAAAAAAGTGAGACAGGCAAAAGTTTTAAAATAAACCAGGCTATCTGATACGTATTTTTGAATATTAAATTTTTGTCAAACAAAATGTTGCAGCAAAAAATAACTTAGGGGATTCTTATTTCAACCCCCTTCAAGGGAGAGAAATTTTTAAAAAATTACACAGGCACACAAAAAAAATTCATGAACCAAAGGATAGACCCCACTATTCTTAGGTTTTTGGGTCGCTGAAACCGAATATGACTATAAAAAATCATTTCAATTGCCCATTTTCCCGCTAGCACCCCCTTCCCATCCCCAGAAGGATTAAATTTAAAATTTTCGTAGAAAATTAAGATGAATGCGTATTTCTATGTAAATGACTACAAAAAATGAATTTATCCTCTCACTTACCCGCTAGCACCCCGTTAACAATTTAAATTTTGTACAAAATTAAGATGTATGTTTATTATTTTTTTTTGGGACGCTAAAACCGAAATATGATTTCTGTCCTAATCACAACCGTGTTTATTTTGCCTTTTGATGTTTTGAACTTGACATCTTATTCTAGACAAGATATTTTAAGCAAGAGAGTTTGGTATCATAGAAAGAGGTAAATGCCGAATTGTGAGGGGCAAGGAGACTCACTTTAATCAAGCACCCCGATTCATGAGAGGCAAGGGGACTCACTTTAATCAAGCACACCGAATCATGAAAGGCAAGGGGACTCACGTTAATCAAGCACCCCGAATTGTGAAAGGCAGTAGGACTCACTTTAATCAAACACCCCGAACCAAGGCAAGGGGACTCACGTTAATCAAGCACTCCGAATCGTGAAAGGCAAGGGGACTCCCGTTAATCAAGCACCCCAAAGGGAACAGAAACCTACCACGTCCACCCCGTTGTTCCAGGGTTACACTAATGGCCGGTCCTCATGTACAATAATTTAGTGCGGAACTGCGGAGATGCGGAATCACGTGATCACAATATCGAAAAAATATTGGACGCACAGCAGCCATTTTGAAAAAGTGACAGATCCGCATGCGTTCCGGGATAAAAGTTGACTAGGTTCAACTTTTTCCGTATTCCGGTGTTTACTTTTGTGCTCGTGTGACATTTATCGGCCATTTGTATTTGTTTATATTCTGAAAACGCGTTTGATTAGTTTGATTAGCTGTATCTTCATCAAAGTTTTCCATTGTAAATATATTTCACATAAAGATTAATAGATAATTATTTGAAATACCTCAATGAAAATACTCGAAAAGAAACCGGTACAAATTTCTAGGTTATCCGCATCTACTATTTTTGACATTTGCATTTGGACGGTAGTTCGAAAATTGCGGAGATTCGCAGTTACGCATCTCCGCAGTTCCGCAGTAAATAATTGTACATGAGGACCGGCCATAAGAGTAGAACCAAATCATAAATACATCTAAGAGCTGATATTTCTGATCGGTGAAATATTGACGTTTACAACATAGGAGCTGAAGGTACTCTTAAACTTGTCTAATTAACAGGTAATTGCCTTTGGATCATTGGAATTTTAAGCGTTGAGTCCATTAAAACTTTGGTTCTCCTCTTTTTTTGCGAAAACGTTAGCGCAATTTACCGAGTGCCAACTTTCATATGGATCCTGCTGGTTCTTTTACATGATTGTAAGGGAGTGGAAGGGGTAATCGAATAAGTCGATATAATTTTTTGTAGTCATTTTCGGTTTCAACGACCCAAAAAACATAGAAATACGCATACATTTTAATTTTGTTCGAAAATGTAAAATTTAAGGGGGTGCTAACGGAAAAACGGGCAATTGAAATCATTTTTTATGGTCATATTCGGTTTCAGCAACTCCAAAAACCTAAGAATAGTGGGGTCTACTCTCTGGTTCATGATTTTTTTTATGCTTGTGTTATTGAGAAGTTATACATACATTATTAGTAGTAAAATTTGTCTGACTATTATATCTTTTTTGGTTTTCAAATTACAGCCGCTATTCCATATTGTTTTGGAAACTTTGAGAGGCTGTACCTCCAAAGGGGTGGCTATGATAATTTTTATGATTTTGCCTGCAGATTTACCGGTATCATTTGTATTACTTCTTTTGAAAATACCCTGTATAAGTATATGGACAGGGTTACTCATACAACTTAAAATCACTTATCAAAGAAAAATGACTTTTATTTTAATTTGTTTTTTTTGGTGGTATTTACAAATGTAGGTAATATAGTTGAATAAAAAGTAATACCTGGTATTATTATTGCACTTTCGCTTGTAAAGGATAATTCAAACGATACATAATTTATGGAGCTACTTGTTTTGGAATGAAATTGGATTATTGAAATTGATATTCAAGAATCGACATAAATTTGTAAGACTCAATTTGAGTGGCCAAGGGTTTTTACATTTTTTACTGAACATCCTTTGTTGTTGCAAAAACAGTAGCGTGTTTCTGGATTCGAAAAAACTAAACCAAGCACGTAAGTAGCTTAAAAATTCTGTTTGTTTGAAACAAAATAGTGGAATACTTTCGACAAATATTAAAATCAAATCATTACGAAGGTAAATGTTTAAAATATCATATATAAGTAGAAAAATAACAAGGTGTTATACAGGGTGTAACTTTAAGTGCGGGTCAGTTTTTTAGGGGTAATAGTACGTGGTCCCCTGAATAAGAATCTGATATTCTTTTTTTTATTAAATAATTATCAAGTAATCATGTATTACAAATACATGAATTGTAGGCAACCTACAATGCATGTGAAAGGAGATAGTGCCGGTAAACTGTTACAAAGCGAAAGGCGTCAGTTGTTGTTCTGCATTTGGAGACAGTATATCTAACTGTGAATTTGAACGTTTCTCAACGTTGGAACAGACTATTCATTTTTGTGTATTTCATTTATCATTATTGCTTACTGCCCGAGTTTTTTGATAGGTTACTTTTAAGTACAATTTATGTGGTGAACACCCATTCAACAAAACTCGTGGCGAATGGTGTACAATTGTGCATCCACTGCAACTAAAGCACGCCATTATTTGAGGTTACACTAGCTTTTCCAGCGGCGGGGTATGAAAAATTACTAAAAAAAGTTAAAAAAAAATGAATGTATAAATATGACATCCTGTATATGACTCCGTCTCAGATTAACAACCTAAATCCAAGAACTGCAGGGTTAAAACACTACACAAATGTCAGATGCTTGCGATATGATATGAAAAATATATTGGAACATTCAGTTTTCTTACTATACATATTTTACTTAGAATTTTATATATGTGTTTTTAAGTTAATGAGACCGTGGAAAAAATAGTATATACCATTCGGGAGAGATGCTATTTTGTCCTCGGTGCATTGTAGCCCTCGGGCTTCAAATTGCACCTCTGCCAAAATAACGCATTTTAAATTTGTTTCATTGTTTTATTAGACTTAAAATTCTTATTTTGGAATATCACTGCTATTTCCATTTGACCACCTTATATCTGACTACTGACCCACCCAACATTTCCTCGATTGCCTGGCGGTCCAGTCCGACACGAGATATTACAAAAATGTTAAAGGATCTTTCCGATCATCATAACTTTCAAAAGAATGAATCGATTGAGACGAATCGAGCATTGATTAAGAGCAAAAGTGATCCGCATCTAATGTGACACCAAGAAACTTCGTAACCTTAAAACTGTGAGCTTGAAAAGACACTTGAATTTGAATAGATCGCCTAAATCTTGAAGATCACTATTTTATGAACAACTTGAGTTTCTGCTCAACAAAATCAATCGATCCGTTTGAAAGTTATATTGACCCTGTAAAGCAAAACACTTAGATACAGTTACTGAAATGAGCACATCGTTAGTTCACATTACTCAAAATATACATCTTTAACTTACCTATATACATTCATTGTTCCTCTAGAAACTTCATAAAACTGAAAGTCTGGGTCTCTTTTCTCAGGAACTGCATAAGATATTTTAACATCTCTGAGGTATTTGTTGAATGTGTCTTTAAAGGTATTCACTAACACGTTGTCTTTATTGCTCAATAACTGCGGAGAACGAGGTTGAGTGGTTACATAATCTGCCCAAGACTCGATAAACCTTTTGTTCACATCCTACAAAGAAATCAATTTTATTTGTCTGTTTACAATACTCGTCAAGGCAGAATCTAGTTACAGGACAGCAAAAAGACAAAAATAACAATACACATTAAAAAACAATTTGGAGTATAAAAAGTTTACATCTGCGGTTTCATACAAAAATAATTGCAATTTTTAGTTTTCCCTAAAGGTTTTTCTTATCTTCAATTTTTATCCCATCCCTTTCAAAGTAGCATCCCTGATATTATACACTTATGCCAATGTAGTTTTCAATTTGAGAAACACTGGTGGAACGCCTCTTTAACACGTTCACTGCCAACTATGGTAACTAAGTCCGTGCCCGGTACCAGGTATATTTTTTATGCAAAACTAAAAATTTTGCCCTTATAAACTTCTTTAAATAAGTCTGCAGATGTAATAAATGTGTTTTGCCGTTTCCTGGTAATTTTTTTTTGATGCGCCGGAGCGTCCATGGCACTGGAGATCGAATTTCATGACTGTGTGCCACTGGACACACTAGCGCGTTCGTTATTTCCTCCTAGTGACCTAATGACTTACGAAATGTATTTGAAATAGAAAAATTTGATAATCCACAAAATATACAAAATGTGTAAACAAAATTATTCAGAAAATATGAAAACAAAATGAACAACAATAAAAATCGAAAGTAAATAAACAGACTTTCTATAATGAAACATAACTCTCGATAAACATAAATTGTACAATCTTCAATAAACATCTTAGAAAACAAATGAATCGGTTTGCTAATCATTCCGAAAAAACAAAACAAAACCGGGCCCATAAAATTACAGTTTATTATATTACTCGAGTGCCTCTATATGCACTTGTACTTCATATCACTGCCGAACAAACTACATGACATTGAATAGAAACGGAGTGTGGGCATGCGGGCAAAACTCAGGTAGACACGACAGCGCGTCGAAGGCAGGGAACTTGTTAAGTGTCATCTTGACCTTAATTTGCGATTGTGCTTTTATCTCATCTATTGTTGAAAAATATCAGTTGAGTATCCTTTTCAGTTTGGGAAATAGAAAAAAGTGACAGGAGACCATGTTAGGAGAATAGGGTGGTTGCAGCACCACAACAGTGTAGTATGTCACCAAGAACTGTTGGATAAGCAAAGTGGTATGGCCAGTGTATTGTCATGATGCATAATCCACGTTGGTTCTCCAGAGTTCAGATTGTTTTTCTATGATTGTCTCATACAAATTGCACAAAAGTTGTAGGTAGTATTCCTTGTTAACTGTACGACAAGGTGGTAAAAATTCATGGTGAATTGACCGGAATTCATGTGCTTTTTTCGATCTTGGCTCTTCAGAAAACTTCCATTGAGATGATTGAGCCTTCATTTCGATGTCATAGTCATATACCCAAGTTTCGCCACTTATTATAACGTGTTTGAACAAGTCTAAATTATCAGCGACGTCAAATGTTCAGCGATGGTTATGTAATGCTGTTTTTGCTGAAAAATCAGCTGAATTTATCACTATAGATGCTAAATATTATGTACAATAACATATTAGTTTCCACAGTCATAAAAATGGGGGGAAGATTGTTTACAGGGTGGTTATTGTATAATTTTTACGTAAATTCACGTTTTTCGCTTATAACTTTTTCCCGTTCAATTCCACGAGAAAACAGTAAAGTACTTCTTTTTTCGTCTTCAAAAGACCTACAAAACTAGACCTCGAGCATCAAAAAATATTGATTAGATCAAAAGTTATAAACAGAAGAAATTTATTTATGACTTTTGAATTAAACATTTATAAATTGCGTTATTATTACCAGAACGTTTTGGCATCGCATCCTTTCATTCCTTATCACTGTCTAATAACTCACACGAAATCTGGAATCGGTAAGTTGAATAGTTTACAAGTTATGGCCTTTTAACCAAATGAACTAATTACATATTAGTCTGGACGATCCCGAGCATCTTCCACAATCGCACAGATTTTTTTTACGGTAGATTTCATAATAATACATTGACAGCGAGTCCGAATAAAATGACGATAATATTTATGGTCCTGCCGTCAAAAAAGCGAAATTCGCTTCAAAATAATATATTTGACAGTCTGTAACTCCGTTGTTTTTCAACAAATCTTGACGATTTTTTTTTAAACTTAAAGCTCTTTTCATAAGCTTTCTGAATATGTAATAATATATAACTATATCACGCGCGTGCGTCGTATATTTCAATTTGCAACTAAGGCTAAAAAATAAAAAAATTTCCAGGTTGCAAATTTGAAATTTAAAAAAAATGATAGATTTCATTGTATTATTATGAAATCTACCATGAAAAAAATCAGTGCGATTGTGGAAGATGCTCGGGATCGTCCAGACTAACATTTAATTAATTTGCTTATAAGGCCATGATTTGTAAACTATTCAACTTACTAATTCCAGATTTCGTGTGAGTTATTAGGCAGTGATAAGAAATGAGGGGGTGCGATGCCAAAACGTTATGATAATAATAAAGCAGTTTATAAATGTTTAATTCAAAAGTCATAAATAAACTTCTTCCGTTTCTAACTTTTGAATTAATCAATATTTTTTGACACTCGAGAGGTAGTTTTGTAGGCCTTTTGAAGATAAAAAAAAAGTACCTTACTGTTTTCTCGTGAAAATGAACGGAAAAAAGTTATAAGCGAAAAACGTGAATTTACTTGAAAATTATACAATTAACCACCCTGTACACAATCTTTCCCCATTTTTATGACTGTGGAAACTAATATGTTATTGTCCATAACATTTAGCATCTATAGTAATAAATTCAGCTTGCCGAAACAAAAAGTTGCGAAATGGTCATTTCCCAGCTAATGACAGAAAGAAATTTACAGGACAGATAAAAGACAAATCAAATATATTAAATCTTGATGTTGAAAGAAGTAAAATTCGCATTTTTTATATCTCCATTTAACTGACAAAAATTAGCTTTTTGAAAGTTAAACTTACAGTGCAATTGGAAGAGATGATATTTAATTTTATTATTCAAATTCAATAACATTGATAACAGAGGATGATGGCTATTCACTCGCATTAAGAGATTACAACATTTATCAACACATTTCTACTAAGAAGTCTACAATTTTAATTTAACGATAAAATATTAGTCTCTCGGTGGAAAAATATTCTAAAACTAATTTTTATTTACCAAATATGAAAGCAAATAGCAAAAGTAAATTAAAGAAAAAGTAATATTTACCCAAGATTCGCCAAAAACATTGCCCCCCGACACATTATATATCTGCCGGGCTAACGCTTCCGCGATAACTTTTGTACTTCTGGTTAGTCTTTCAATATCAAGATTTTCTCTTGTATCCAATATCGTGGCTCTTTGCAGATCTCGATGTGACTTTAATGCTGATAGAGTAAAAGCAGGGAGTCTTCTTATGCTGTATCTTTCATGTTCCCAACCTAGAACGTCTTCAGCCAAATTAATTTTTTTGTGTACGCTGTCTACTGTTACTGAAGGATAATCTGTGGAGGCGGCAGATAATTCCTTGTAGAAGTGCGCAGCTGGTGACCCATCCTTTGGTGGTTTCGAGACGTGCATGTAGATGGAATCTTTTGAAGCCAAAGTGTCGAGGCACATAACATACGAAGCTTCCTAAAAATATAAACATAACTATAAAAACTAGTAGAAACCGAATGCTATAATAACAATTTTTTTTCAGAAACTTAACACCCAGTAGCAGCCTTTTAAATAAAGACAGATTACAATGGAATTTAAAAAATCCCATAAAACGAAGAAATTCCCTAATACTTTCGAATCTATAAAATAATTAATTATAATTATAATTGCATACATACACCCTACTAGATATAGCCCGAATTTGAGAATACCCCTTAAAATTTTTAAGAATACTATTTTACAAACAATCTGAGACCTCTTTTATAAAAACAGTGGCTCTATTCAAAAATTTTATTGACCCTATAAGAACCTATTTTTTTCTGGCTTCTAGTCACATGTTGTGATATAAAACAATTATCTTCTAAATCAACTTCTGGTGTCACATAAAAATGCAATCATGATTTATTGATTAATCTAATAAACCACTAACTTGAATAATAGAACCATCCAAAGAATCCAACTGATCTTCAAGCCATTTTTTACTTCCTTGATAATTTATTTTCCCACCTCCAGTCAAAAGAAACACTATATTGTATTTTCCATGAGTTTTTGCCTCTGCATATAGACCAGAAAATAATCTAATTAGTTCTAAAAGCATAACAACTCCAGACCCATTTGAATCAGCTCCGTATGCGAGATCCTAAAAAATGTAGAAAAATCGAAAATGGCAGAACTCCGATGAGCATTGCTTAAAAGACAATGCTCAGCTTTCAAGGAGAATAAATATTTATAAACGGCAAAACAGCAGCTTATCTAGTAGATATAATTTAACTAAAATTAAAAAGCAGTAAGTTATTACATATCAAATAAGCTTTACATATTTACTTAATCGTTTTTAGATAATAGTATAACACTACCAAATTATTTTTTTATCTTGTTCATATAAGAATGTTATTTTGGACACTGTTAAAATACATGAAGTAAAGAAAAATTATTTTTATATTACTTACCGGAGCTACTCCAAAACTATCATAATATGCAACAACTGCAATAGTGGGTATTTTTCCATCAGTACTGTATCCAGATAAGTGACCCTGTACTGTCGCAACCCTGGCATCAGCTTTAAGACTGGGATTATTCGATGAGACTACTATTTGGTACCCATTCGCAGCAATAGAATTAAACATAGCCTCAGCTGCAGATTTATTCATATCATTTGTGTCTAAGCCTTGAGATATTTCATTTACAATTATATCCAATTTCTTCGAATATCTAGCAAAATACACTGGAATCGAAATTTCTTGTGTTGTTATCGCATTTTCGAGCAACAGAAAGTGCTAAAACAAATGTAAAAACTTAGTCCTCTACTTAAAAATAAACCCTGTTAAATAAGCAGGTACCTGTCTTTCCTTATCTTTCAGATTAGAGAAATCCTGGGGTAGCATAATAAGCAAAGCCCCAGCCTTCAGTTTAATGTTTTGAAAATTATCAACAGTTAAATCTTTTAACCTTGTAACCACACAATGCCTCGGAGAGCTCCAACTTGAGAGAGACCTTGCCTCCAAATTAATACCCGCACTTCTACATCCTTAAAAAAAATCATTTTTAACAGCAAAGTTACGTAGTTTTTCAATTCGTAACATTAAAAATTTACCACTTACCATGAGCAACTCCATGTAAATCATAATGCTGCATTCGATACACTGGAAATTCAGCAGAGGCAGAAACTGGATTTCCTGGAGAAATTATAATAAATATTGGCAGTACTATTAAAATATAATATGGTAAATATCCTTTAAGTATTTCATCAACTTCTTCTAGCCACATTTTCACTCAAACTAAATTATATTAGGTTAACCACTTTGAGTTTTTTTCTAGGAATAGTCAAATGTGAACAAACACTGACAATAAGTTTCAATGAACCGAGTAAGTTTCAATATTTAAGTAGACAGATATTCAGGGCTGTCCCTGTGCAAAACAGATTCTTATTCTTACAAAAAATTAGATACAGTAGTAGAAATTGACCGCGCGTGAAAAAGTGACAAAAATGATATTTAACCAAAAAATAACCTAGATTTATTAACTTCATTAAACTCTAAACTGACGGATGTTAGACAACCAGATATACAAACAAAGGTTATTGTCATTGATTTTATTTGCACAGGGGTGTATTTGAATTTTTTCACAAATAAATATTTGTTTTTTTTCGTCTTAGTTTTATTGGCGCTCTATTAGATCCATTTCTAAAAACAAATTAAATAAAATGAAAATTCTTTACAACATATTGAACTTGTTTAAATCAAATAAACATGCTAGGGGATATTAATATAATAATTTATTACTTGTTGTTTTGGTATTAATTAAAATTAATTGGTTATTAAAAATTAATAACATTCTAATGGAAGGTAGACATTACCTATTACTTTAAATATTAGTTTTTTTTTATATTTTATTTATTAACAAAATTTTTGAGCTATATCGCCACAGAAAACGAATTTGTTTTTAGATTATATTACGTAATTAACCAAGTAATAGTAATTTAAAACGAATTTAAGAATAAATATACAAAGATAGTAATGTTTATTGTTTATAACCTTAATTTTTGAAAAAATATAGGTACTCTGTTGTCGAAAAATACTTCTTTCCAAGACCTAGGGCATAGAAATTGAAAAAACTAAATCCATTTTCAGGTATATGCTGTTAAATAATTTTTTATTTTTAATTTGGCATGAAGAGTATTAACATCACCCACCGGAAGAAATAAGTTAAATCGTAAATAATTAGTATAAAAAACCAATGGCGCGTATTAAATATTATATTCTCGTCTCTCTGTCATTTTATAAAAAATATAAATGTTAGACCACTATGACACATGACAACAATGATTTTTTAATATAAAAGGTGTTAAATGTTGGATATTAAAATGCGTCAATCCAGCAAAGGAAAATGGATTTCAATTTTTTATTACAGTTTTATTATTGTCGCACGTATTTTTTGATTAAGTAAATTTTTATTTATATAACAAAACATAAATACATATTATTCGAGTATGTCAAATAAACACAATACAAAACATTTTATTTTCTACGATACATTTAATTGATATGATTCCATATGACAGATGGACTTCAAAAATGTCCTATTATTAAGACTTTCTTTTCGGTAAATAATTATACAGGGTAGGAAAGTACCGATGGTCTATCTGAAGTTACGAGAGAGCGATAAAGTAAGCCATAGAAATCCATGCGATAGAGAAGGATGGCTATAATGAAGGCGTCTCTTAGTCACCACCCGTTTCGCCCTTCCACAAATAAGATCCACTTCTTATTTGTAGAAGGGCGAAATGGGAGTTGACTATTAGACGCCTTCATTATAGCCACCCTTGTCTATCACATGCATAGACCATCGGTACTTTCCTACACTGTATATTTAAATGAATAAAAGTCCCACGCTTAAAGTCTTTTATAGATATTGGGTTCAAGGACTTAAGGTCTTTTGTTGAAAGATTCCATCGGCAATATATTGGAGTAAATAATTTTTTTCGCGATTGATTCTAATGTCGGGGCCCCCCAACATATATGCCTAAGCCTCGGCCTATTAGGCTTTACGTAAAGACGGCCCTGCAGCTTATATCACTATGCATTTATGCATTTTTCCACATTTTATAAATTTATTTGTAAACATTTCATATTCGTAAATATATACGTACCTATATATTGTAAAGTTAACAGTTTCTTTTAAATTTTTATCGATATGAATTTTTGTCTTGAATAAATAATACTATGTCTGCTTTACAGTGACGTACCTAATTACTTTTTACTTTTTATAAATATTAAATGGACCAAAAGCATTACTAAAGTTGAGTAAGAAATTGTACAGTGGTTCGCGTCAATACTTTTCATGTCAAATTTAAAAAAAATGCGAGTGTCCCAGCGGTACGCTTGAAAATAGTTTTAATTTTTTAAATATCAAAACCCCATCGTCCATCGATCAGTATTTCGAAAACGAAGCATTTCTCGATAAAACTTACCCCCAAATAATCTACTCGATATGTGGCCGATTAAACCATATCCCTAAATTTGTTTTGCAAATTTAATAAATAATAAGTTAGTTATAAATAACAATTAAAATCATTATTAATACATTGTAAATTAATAAGTATACCAAATAAATATTTTTTCATTAAATGTACTTTTTTGTAGTATATATAATTAAAAAGTAAAAAAAATGTTTGTATAAATTTTACATGGATGCTTTAAGTTTGTTTTTTCATAATAAATTAAGTATATATGAAGTTATTTGTCGTGTATCATAATAAAGACAAAGACACGCATTTAATGAAAGTATCGTCATTCGTCTGTGCCGCAAACGAGACACATATTTGAGAAAGGATCCAAGAATAACTAAAAAAACAACACCCATATACGCGTACATGTGTCTGAATAACCATATATCTACTACTTCTTTTTGTTGAGCTACTACAGACTATTTTCAATTCCAAGAGCGTCTTTTGAGCACGCACACTTGTTCCCTCCGTCTTATTATAGTTGTCTAGATACTTAAGTGCATTAAACTTCTATTCGTTTTATTTGCTTTTCAGTTTCTTATCATACAATTTAGTTGCGTGCCTAAATGAGCTGTTATGGAACGCATTTACAATAAAACAACCGAATTTAATTATTCAGACGGTAATACGTCGATCATATCGAACGATGTATTTAACACGGGAAGTCCCGTTGTTCCACTGTGGGTGGTGTATTCGTATTTCATATTTGTCTGTCTGGGGGCTGCTATAAATCTGATTCATTTCTTGGCCTTAGTGAGATGCAGAAAAAGCGGTAAGATCTTTACATTCATTTAAGACTCGTGTTTTAATCTAATACTTATATTAAGTTTAACACTTAGAATTTCTTTATTTATGTAGGTATACGCTTTCATTGGTTTTTTTTATACAGGGTGTTATTGAAAAAGATACCACAAATCTAAGGCCTCGTACGTCGTACGACATAACAAAATAAGACGATTTTTTCATATATATCGTCTTTTATTGTTTCTGAGATACGGAACCTGAAATATACGATTTTTATTCAAATTAAAATTATCAAATTTTAGCCATATCTTTTCCAAAAAACAATGCAATTCGGTGTTCAAAATTTTTAAATGTAATTCCATCTGCCGCTCTTGTTGAAATTACCGAAATCGCACCGTTTTAGAGAAAAACATAAAAAAGTCGAGCAGTTTTTACCTCATACTTAATATACATCAGGGTCTCCATAAATAAATGGACCATATTTTAAGGGACTTTCTTTAACAAAAATTAACCACGATTTTGATCAAGTTGTCGTGGTAAAAACCTGCTATCTAAAATAAGATAATTTTTATGTAAAACAAAGTTATACATTGTATGATACCAGAGTACCATATTATAAAAAACCTAATCCCAAAAAGATTGTCATAATATATACCTTTGGATTGTAGCTAAGTAGTGACTTCCAACAGATGGTCAAACTTTTGAAAACTTACCTGAACAAAATTCCATTATATATATTTATGCTATTTTTTAGGATTTAGCTAGAAATTTGATTTTAAAACTTTCTTTGGGGCCCTGTTTGTCAAAAACAAAGATATAACAAATTGTTTAGTTTTTGGATGTTCTATCACTCCCTGAATTTGTGGTACCTTCCATAACACCCTGTATATGACCTGTCTGTACTTACTGAACTATATAAAATTAGTATACAACTGATACTATAGAATATGCATATATCTGGTAATTATTTATTGATTTATAAATATAATCCTTACATCAATAGTATCGATACTATTTTATGTTAATCTTTCTTTTAAAAAAGTATTTAAATAATTATGTTCATGTAGGCTGACAATACTCGTATAGTCAAAAATGTTTATCGTAAGTTGAATATGATAAAAAGGGCATTATTTTTAGTTTCTAGCAAACAAGAAAAAATATTTTTTATCAAATTTTAGCGCGCTATATCTCGAAAAAACTATCGATTTGTGAACCAATCTGCAAATTAAATGAATTTTTTTTTTCTTGGAAACAGTAGGATTTAAGTTACAAACAATGATCAAATTTTCAAAATATTGAGTGGCTTGAGCTTTAGTTTTTTTCTTTTGATGAGAGTTACTCTTGGTATTTACACAATGGATTCAAATTATGTGACCTTTAATTAGATAAAGTTATGAGCCCAAGTTTCATCATTCTGCATCAACGTCTTCAGAGATTTTTTGGGAAAAGTGATTATTTTTTCAGTTTCTAATTTCTATGTTCACATAGAGAACTACTGATAAAACAATTTCGGATGAAAATTGCAAAACAAAAAATTAAAATAGGGAAGACTGGCCCTGAGATCTTCATATATTTTCTTCATTATCAGCTAATAGATAAAATAAGGTGTTTCTTTTGCAAGACCTCTTCTATATAAATTAAAATTTGATATTAAAATTCTATTTTTGAAACTTCACAAGAAAAATGTAAATTTTGCGAAAAACAAGAAAACCCCCGTTTGTTGATTATGGAAAAAATATATTTTGCAAATATATGTGCAACCCTTTTCAAGATCTCAGCGTTGGCCACCCCTATTTTAAGTTTTTATTCTACATATTTATTTCAAAATTTGTTTCTCTCTGTGGATCTAGAAATCATCATCTAACAAACAGTATGGATCCCCAATCTTCATTAAAAAAAATATGGTCACTTCAATTTTCCCAAGCCATCACTGATTTATCAAAGTGGTATGTAAAAAATTTAATTTAATTTAAATTTATTTTAGGTGCATTAACTCTGATTATGCAGCTGTGTATGGTTGATTTCTTGTCGCCATACGTAGTAGTGTTAGAAATACTTACCCTCAACAATCAAATCTGGATCTTCTCTTTGGATAACTGCACCATTTTCAACGGGATCGAGGTCTTAGTTAACTCCTTGGTGGTCTGGTTAATCATCTGCCTCAATTTTCAAGTTATATCTATATGGAATTTATACAGAAACGAAGTAGAGAAGAAAAATGCGAATCCCCTGACATCGTGCCAAGACGAATCAAACGAATGTTTGGTTACAAAGAAAGAGAACGCTAACAGGACACTGAATATTGACTATCAAAAGAGGAAGAATGACATATCGGTAATCGTACCAGTCATTCTGATAATTTTTGCATGTTTCTCGTTAAGTATTCCGAATTTTGCATTATCGTCGACTTTACCGGTAAATGGAAATCATACCATTTGCGTAATTATGGACCACTTTTACGGGCACACTTTACAAAAGGCACTTTTTATGTTCAGGATTTTAGTGCCGGTAGCATTGCAAATACTTACACTCATTATTTTAATTGTTAAACTTGTTCAAACGTCTCCAAAAGATATCGACAATATTTTAATACAAAAAGCTATTGAGATCAGAGGCTTATTGCTTTGTTCTATAGCTGTCACCATGTTCTATATAGCTACTTCGTACCAAAGAAATTTGTTACATTTCTTACACATTATGTCGCACAATTTTGATAACAGTACAGGTAAGGTTTTCAAAGTGCCGCCATTTTTTAATGACAAGTTAAGTTCGTCGGGTGGTGTTTACTTATCCATGTTACACTACTGCGGTATCACTTGTAGGGCTTTTTTGTACATTTTCGCTCTACCGAAGTTCCAAAATCTGGTGAAAAGTAAAATTTTTGTCTGTTGTAAAACGGAAAAGAAATAAGAGAACGATCAGTAAAACATTTTTAATATTACGAACTTGTATAATTAGTTTGTAAGGGCATAATAACGTATTTTATATCTCTGTTTTGTGTTTTCCGTAACTGTTCCGCAGCATTTTGCAACTGTAGGGCACAATCAGGATGGGCGCTTCCTGGTAATTGCATACATTCTTGTTCGAAAATATAGGCCAGTCCGTTGAGTAGATCCAAAAAACCCAAAGATATGGCAGCTTTTCTTAATCTATTCAGCTCCTAAGTAATTGAAAGTAAATAATAAAATGCTTAAGAATTAGTTTTTGGAGAATGTTCAATCAATCGAGCACGAATGAGAATATATTAGAACAAATGAGCATACAGGGTATAGCAAAAGTACAGAAACGGCAAAATAACTCGGCGGGAAAGCATTTTACAGAAAAATGTTAAATACAAAAGTTTCAGGATTTCTCCCTGTCTATCCGATGATGACCTGGACCCTGAATATCATTTCAAGGTCAAATGTGATTTTTCAAATGGGATAGCCAGGGAAAAATCCTCAAACTTTTGTATTTAACATTTTTCTCTAAAATGCTCTCCCGCCGAGTTATTATAACGTTCCTGTACTTTTGTTAGTTTGACCTTGTGGGGGCCCCAAGGTCAAAACAGAGGGGTCACTCAAGGTCATATCTGAACGTAAAATTTTCCGCTCTCCGTTTCTGGGGTCAAAAGTATAGTATATCCCATTTCAAAAATCACATTTGACCTTGAAATGATCTTCAAGGTCAAGGTTAATGTCAAGGTCACCATCGGACAGCCAGGGAGAAATCCTGATACTTTTATATTTAACATTTTTTTCTAAAATGCTCTCCCGCCGATTTATTCTGCCGTTCCGGAACTTTTGCTATACCTTGTATATGTATGAGCCTAGACCTGAAAATGTATATTCTACTTGATGTAGTTTTTTTAAAAATTCATTGAAAGTCCTAAATATTCTCAATAAAATTCTAAAAATGCTGAATATTTTCTCCACGTTTTTCAATATTTACAGAATTGTAATGTAATTTATCAAAAAAGTGGTATTAAAGTTATTCTTTATATTTAAGATGAACATAATTAATGTTTATGCAAAGGCAGCTGCTAGCGATTATTATCTTTCCCAATCAATGGTGTTAGGAAAAACTGAAAAGCAAAAAATTTGGAGAATTTGGCAAGAAAATTTCCCTTTTGTGCTTTTAAAAAGAATGTTCACAAACGATTAATTTCAAATTCATATTGAGAACATTCTCATTTAGTCCAGTTGCTAGAGGAGAAGGCAGCAATTCCGAAAAGCACAATTTTTTGCATGTGACTACTATCGTAATAAATAAAATAGACCCCTGACTTTGGAAACCGATGTTAAGAAAATGTAGGGGCAAACAAATTTTTCAGATTGTTGTTTACAATTATTTACTACGTCATTTTTTTCTTTTTTTAAAGAATGCAATATTTACGGATAGCATTCCCTTTTGTTTTGCTTAAAAATAAAAAAAAGAAGAGCTTTTGAGATAAATGACCTTCACAGTACTAAAGACAATAGTTCGACTTATCGTCAGTAAAAATTTGGAACTTTTTTATCAATTAACAAAAGAATTATGCCGAGTTAAAGTGAGAGGTATCAATTTTGTAGGCAGAAAACCGTGATTTTTTCAGTATTTTCATTAATAACTAAAAAATGGGATCTATTTCATTTATTTCGATAGTAGTATTTTGTTAGTAGCTGAGGAAAAAAATTGTTCTGCATGGGAATGGACCGAGAAAATTTGGGCAATGGCCGGAAAACTACAAAAAAAATCCACCTATTTCCGTTTGGTTTAAATTTTCAGTTTTCTGGCAATACCTTCAAAACAAAAAAGATCAAATTTCTGTTTCGCAAGTTATTTGTCATGAAATTCCATAACATTTCCCTATTTAATAAATGGACACTCGATATCAAATGGTACTTTTTATTTTTTGATGTAGGTACTATCTTCCTAAAGAAATCTCAAGACAATTTAGGACCATTTTGTATAAAAATTGTGATAGCAGTTGCATCTTACCACATTTTCAATTACCGTAATGTTATGTTACCAGTATAATGTTAGTCACAGTTTAAATAGCTTTAGTTATAGCTTTAAATTATAGATTCATCAAACGAAACAAAAAATATAACTAATATTACTTAATGTATACTAAATAAAATGTCAGGTAAAATATCTCAATGATGTACAATTTTAAGAAATAATTTTTAATAAAGTACCTTGTAAAACTGTTGTGTTTTTTCTGGCAATTTTCTTGCATGCCTCAATATCTTCTGTATATCCGACTGGAGCCCTGCTTGTCGAATCCAAACCACTCCGTTCTGAGAATAACTTCTCTTCTCCGTTGGTCGAACTGGAAAACTAGCAACTTGTTCAGCCGGATATGATTCAGCAGATCCTAAATTATTCAAGTCGCCTAGCCAAGGAACAGCATCAGATCCAGGTGTAAGAATAGTCAGCATTAAATTCGATTTCTTCTTTGAATCGGCCCAAGAATACACAAAACCGAACCAGTTGTCCCCTAAGTTCACTAGCGCTGCCATATCTTTCACTTTCAACGCCCCGTGTAGCAATACACAGAAAGAAGGAGCTTTACCCTCTTCATTGGTACCTTCCTCTGTCACATCTACGTCAGTTTTTAACGCCACACCTTCTTGTTTTGCAGGCGGACTAGCAGGGAGTATTAAATGTCTGCTGATAGCCATCGGAGAACCTACATCTCCTACAGAGATGAAGCCACACACTTCTATCAGTTCGGAAACGTTGAATGTTTGACAGTCAAAGTCTGTTCCCTTAGTATAAGACTGAAAAATATTAATTAATACTGGAATCAATACATGCCTATAGATATTCTAAAACACAGTCTTACCACAGGAGCTGGAGATAGAACAACTTTAGATTCTAAATTTCCGCACTTAAGAGTACCTTTAAATAACGTGTACATGTCCTCAGCAAGCTTCTGAAATAAGTTTGTAACGTTTTGTTCGTTTTGCAAATTATCGGGTACTAATATGGACCCATCGTACCCGCTTAAATCTATCAGTCTCTGGTAAAGAGGTTTCGCTAAAAAAAAAATATGTATATAAATAATATTTAGCTAGCTCTCATTCAAACAGTACACTTGATAAAATTGGGATCTGTTGCGTTGGTTATACAAACAATGTGTAGTTTTGCAGGGAATGAAAATGGCACTGGAAAAGGAATTTTCGAAGTTCTCTGATTTAAGGTGGCTAGAGATTCTTTAAGAGACATAGGGCCAACGCCTGTGCTTCCATCAGTTACTAACACAATCTGAAACAGAAAATATTCTCAAACTAAAAATACCTATTTAAAAATGCCTAAAATTATAATTCAAAACTATCCAATAATTAAGGTTTTGTTCCGAGTTAGACATAGATTGTGACACAATTATTTTTTTAATTTGTAGTGCTGCAAAATACCCAAAAAAGAAGTAAAACTAATTAAGAAATTCCACAAATGTACGTCATGAAAGATTAAGTTGAAAATGAAAATGATAGAAGTCTTATTACCAGAAATTAATTACTCAACTAAGAAGTCAATCACTAAGAAGCATAAAGTGATATCACATCAATATGATCATATCAGAAATTTTTCATTTTTAATTTATATAGTGTGCTGGTTGAAGAGGGTTACCATTCTATTAAAAATGTACATGTTTGTGGAAATCCCATGATTTCCGAAAACTGTCCGCTGCAATAACTAGGATCAAATATTTTTTTTTTAAATAGAATGCCCTATTTTTTTGTTTTACTTTTTAATTTATCCTAAATTTCTAAACTGTTTTTAAGAAAATCGAGTTTGATTGTAAATGCCAATAGGTACAAAACAATGCTTTATGTCAGAAGGCATTGAGTTAATGGCACTTAAAATATAACATATTGTTTGGACATTATCCACACTCATAACATAATGGTAGGTATCCAAATTGATAAATCAGTCATCTTACCTATGAGAACGGATGAGAATCGATAAGTTGGAAACTTGGCTATGTCTGGTGATCCTGCTGATGATCTTAGCTATTTACTAGATATTGAGGACGTAATTCAATGCTGGACAGGCCATGTAGTACACAGAGTAGTTGTGTTCCACAATATTATTAGTTAAATGGTTAATAATGTTCTATAAATTCTACAGGAATTCGAATATACAGGGTGATTCAGAACTTATCCAAAAAAAAATTCTAGATGTACAGAGGACCCTTACAAATACAATTTTGTAAAGAAAAAATCAAAAAGGGCAGTTCGAAAATGATTTAAAAATACACTTCTGTACGGCACTGGAAACTGGTCCACTGTAAAACCTGACCTAGCACAATGCGACCGGCATGGCGGTGTAATAAAAACAGACAAAAACTTTCGCAAGGAAAGAAATATGTAAATAGAATTTTATCGCACCTATTTTATATCGACAAATTCAACTGCTTTTGTTTTTATTAATTAATATAATTAATTTGTGTTTTTAAATAATAAAATCATTTGACATATCCGATGTTACAACAATTTTTCAAAATTTTGTCCACCAACGTGTAAACACATTTGGGTCAGTCTTACTCAGTTTCTACGAACTAACACAAATGTTGTCTTGCTTCACCATAAATTAAAACTACATCCATGAACTCCGAGTTGCTATACCCGCAAACCATTTTTGACACTAACTATCCATTTTTGACACTAACTACTAAAAAAACTATTGAACAGATAACAGGTAAATACTATTGCAACGACGATTGAAAAATCCGATTTCAGTATTCGGAGTCGCTGAGGCCACGTGGCTCTCCACTCGCATTGCGAATGACGCTAGAGACTACAGTTGTTCAGCTATGTAGTCGTTGAATGTACTATAACTTCAATAATTTTTTTCTCAGAAACTATATGGATTTTACAAAATTTTTTTTTACGATATTGACTCCATTTCTCATGCTGCATCTATTCCCAAATTTTTTTGGATAAGTTCTGAATCACCCTGTATATTACCTCTGATATTGTGAAGAAGTTGGGGATCAATTTGAAAAAATGTCAAAATAATTATTTGCACAAAATTTAATTAACAAGATTATTAATAATTAATTGTAACAACAAATAAATTTTACTTTTTTTATTACAAAATTGCAATTTTCTCAAAAACAGTTCAATCTAGATATAATCTAGGCATACATGAAATTCAATCAGAAATGTACGTACATTGAAATAAAAAATGAAAAAGTGGCAGTTCCATGCATTTTCCTGAGAAAAAAATGCCTGCATTTTAAATGTACCTATTTATTCCAACCTTTGTTCATCATATTATATACACAATATGTTCAAATTTAATCTGGTACCTACACCCTTATGAAATTTTGCTGCACTATGCTTTTTCAATATATTTTTATTTTGCATTTAAAACCCTCCTAGGTCTATTACAATGACCATGACAATCCATATGGGTACGCTATGATTTTTTATTCAAAGTTAATTTTCGAGAAATCATATTAATAACTTTTCGTTTGGTTAGATTTGGAATTAAATCAAAAGTATAATAAATGTATAACTTTTATACAATATACAATGGAACAAATTCTAATTTAGTTCAGTCGTTTAGGTTTTGGTATATAGTGTAATGCATTTGACAAGTATGAGTGAAGTAAAAGTGAGTTTCGTAAGATATAAGGCTTCATACATGAAATGAAATGAATGAAAAGACCATTTTGTTATGTGACATAAACATTTTTCACATTGGTTTCCTGATAGAAAAAATAGAATATAAACGCTGAACATTACTATACTGGATAGCTATTTGTAACAATGAAAGAGAGAATCAGCAGTCTGCATTTTCCCTGTCTCATGTCTCATATGAATGGTACAATTCAAAATTTAAGTCGATTTGCCCCCTATCAACTCACCACACTTCTATGACATGCTTTTGAACCCTTAATGATTTTTTAGTTAATAATAATAATAATAATATCTCTACTCCTCATTCTAACTACGAGAATTAGCCCATAAGTCAGAGACTTGTGCGGGAGAGGAGGCAGCATATTATTATTAGGCAGGCCGCATTTGCGCCCAGGAACGACTTATATTGGTAGGCCCTAACCACCATTCAGTGCAGAAATGAGGGAAACCTGGAAAACCTCATTAATTAGGGGGGTGGTCAAATGCCAACCGGTGTCAATCTCTCACATTGACCCAAGCCAACATTCTTCCACCCTACCATACCTGCACAGAGGGTGCCAATCCTCCGTACAAGCATAGCTAATCTACGGTCTACCGGCCGCGGGAATCGAACCCGGGCAGAACTTTGCACACGATTAAAGGACTGACGCCTTAAACCGTGCGGCTATCGACCGATCCCAGTTGGGAAAATATTTTCATTTCAATGCTTTTAAAAAGTGAAAAATTATATAGATAACATATAATTTACTGTTTTTCTGTCAGTTTCTTATTAATTGACAAAATTATAATTTACAGTAACTTGTATTTAATTTATATGTTAATAATTATTAGCACTCTTTTTAATATTAAAATCAAGTGCATATTACACCATTTGTTTAAATAAATTTTAAGCTGTTTGAGTGACTTTGTTGAAGGCTGCAGGATTGCGGACAAGATTGGGAGCTATTTTCCTCTTAAAGCTTTAAAAATGTACACATATTGCAGACAGTGGTTATCCCCTCGAATCTGAACTAAACTTGTTTTTGATTAGTATTATTAATATCATTTTGGATATAAAAAATTGTGCAACAAATGGATTTGACTTTTGATTTAACCAAAAGCAGCTATTTTTTAAATTAAAAAGAAGCTTAGAAGCACCTTATATTTCTTTTGCTAATTTCGGTTGAATTACATTTGAAATATGTACTTCCAATTTTGCCAAACATATTTCATGGTAATTTTTTTACTTATCTATTTAGTGTAACTACAAAATGTATTCACTTTATATGCAAAAATGTATCAAAACAAACTTTAAGCAGGCAATCGGTATTTACACTTTACGACTACTTAAAGATTGCTAAAATGATTTTTCTATACCGTCAGCAAAAAATTGTTCAGGAAACATTATTTTAGCAATCATTCCATACCCTTAAGAAGTAAAATATGTCAATAGGTTCACTAAATTTAGCAATTATTTAATGAATCCACCGATATATGAGTTTTTTTACACACTTGAACCGAAACCACAGAAAACTACATCCTAATAAAAAAGTTAAAATTTTTGATTTTAATGAAGATAAATTTTAACTAAAACAGTGTATAACTGTTTAAAATATAACTCTGAACTAAAATAAGCAAAAAATAGTATATCCTATTTAAATTTCAAGTGACCCTATAACTCGTCATCCAGTATTTCAGTACTTACCTGACACGCTGTATTGTTTCCCCATTCTCCTAAAACCATCTGATTAACACCATGTAAAGCAGTTTCAATGCAAGTTTTATCATAATCATCTATATTCTTTAATTCTGCCTTTATAGCATTGTAATCTCTCGTAAAAGGACATTTTTCCTCATACAAGGATGAAAATGCCATCTAAAAATAAATTCCATACATGATTCCGGATATTAATCTTCAATTACTAATTCGATACCAACACTCAAAAATGTATACTGTAAAATTTTTTTAAATGTTAATTCTGACATACAAAAACTATTTTGAACATTGAAATAAATAATGAAATAGCTGCCAGCTTTTTTATTGTAATTTTTATATAAATTAATAAACTAAATGAGGTTTAAACAAACATTATTTATTTTTATAAGATGGGAGGAAATAATACTATGTGATACAAGATGAAGAATATATTTTAAAAACATTTTGCAATATAGAAGAATATGTCAGACAAGGGTAATTTAATGTAGACACCGTGAAAAGATCAAGTATAATTAACAAAGGCTTCACAATGTACTAAATTTGCTTTGTTGTTGCAATGTAATCATGTCAGGGAGCATAATTAATTATTGTTAAAAAGAAATAAATATCAATTTTAAGTAACTAAATGTTCACGCTATCATTTAGAAGCTAAAGCTGCTTGGGCTGCTTTTTTTGCTTTCACTGTTTCTACGAGTTCTTTGTATCTCTTCATACACTCCTTTTTTGTTCTGTTAGGAATACACTCGGCAATCCTATCCCACCTTTCTGGAGTAGATGAAGGATAAGTTTTCAAGGCTTGTTCCAACAGTTGCTGTTCAGATGTCGTCCAGGGCAATTCTGTTTTAGTTGGCACCTTTATATCTCCGTTAGAGGACGTTTTCTTAACCCCACTCGTTGGTTTTATGTCAGCGTCTCCATTAAGGCTAACGCCATCCAACTTCTTAGATATTCCCGTTTCATCGATGTTCAAAACATTTTTCTTATCTTTTTTAAAGTTATCAAATGCTTGTTTATTTGCTACCTCTTTAAGATTATTTTTGGAAAAATCCGTATTTTGCAAATCTTTAGCCTTGGCAAGAACCAACTTTGCATTGAATTTACTATTATTCTCACTAAAAGTGCCATGTTGATTAATAAAATTTGCTACAACTTCCCACCTCTGATTTGTTCCAGCAGGAAATAAGTTTACGGCTTTCACTAACAACTGGATATTATTTTCATTCCACTCTGGCGTCATTTTAACAACTGCAGCGGTTTTGTTCTCTATAGTATTATTCTTTTGTTTAGCTGCATCGAGAACCGCCAATCGCTCTTGCTCCTCACGGACTTCGTTTTCTTTTAAGGCTTTCAGAAAAGCTGACTTCCCAATATTTTTGATGTTTCTATTAAGTTCTTCTAATTCAATTAAAGACAATCTTTCACAGATTGCCTCAACTGCTGTCATATGTGCTAAATTTTGTTCATTGCTATCTGCATAGTAATTGTTTGATTTACAAATATCACGTAGGGTTTTGCGTTCTTTCTTAATAGCCTTCTTTTGGGCTTCCCGTTCTTGTCTTTTAGCTTCAATTCTGGCTTTTTCTGCAGCTTCAGCCTGTTCTTTCGCTAATTGCATTTCCTTTAACAAACGTTCTTCTTCCTCCTTCTTTGCTTGGGCGGCACTCTGTTTTGCTCTCTTTGCAGCCAATTTCTTTTCCTTATCATCCTGCTTAAATTTGGCTATTCTAGGATCATTATTATAAGCTAAATCTACCAACTGTCGTATTCTAGACATTTCCTCTTTTTTCTTTCGAAGTCGTTCTGCTTTATTTAATTTATCTACGTATCTCCTTTCTTCTCGATCTTGGCATTTATCTTTATCTTCCTCATCTTCATAAGAATATTCACGCCATGACTTGAAATCGTACCAAAATGAATAAAAATGTTCTACTTCTTCTCTACTTGAATTAGAATTGCCTATTTTGGGAACTCTTGATTTTTCTGACCACCGAGAATTTAAATTAAAATAATAAGAAAATACTTCATAGAAATCCCTCTTCAAATCGCTAGAACTGGGTAAATTATTGTCAAATTCTGGATCTACTGAATCATAGGCCCTTCTTCGGTTAACATTACCTAGGGTTTCATATGCCATTGTTATACAAGTAAAATAATCATCATCAGCCTTAACTTCTTCTCCTAAAGCTTTTCTTTTGTCAGGATGGTGTTTCAATACCTTTTTCCTATATGCAGTTTTAATAATGTCTTCAGTTGCTTTGAATCTCAGACTACCTATCCCAAGTACTTTATAATGGTCTTGATTTTTCCATTCCTTGGGATCCAAGCTCCGCAAGTACTCAACATCATCTTCATATTCTACATTTTCAGATAACAATTCTTCCTCTTTTGGTTCCTTATTTTCTTCTTCCTTTTTTGGAACATCGACTTTCTGTACTACAACAGGATGAGGTAAAAACTGAAGTTGTGGTTCTCCACCTCCTATATTTTCGAATATAAATCTATATCGTACTGCTACAATTTTACAACTGCTATTTTTCGTTATCTTGACTTCTCCCATTTTAATGATAAACCATAACCTTCAATCTGTAGCTGAGACTTGCTATTTAACTCGGGGTTACAGACTTTTTTACAAAAACAATTAATCTCTTCTGGCACTGTTTTAATCGAAATTAATACTTATAACACTTAATACAATTTGTAAAAGAAACGGAACATCCCGCATGGCGTACGTCAAAATTGCCAAATTAAAAAGGAAAGTGACTTTTTACGTTGACATGTTGGTTAAATGATTGACAAGAGACAGGTTGAGAAACATTAAAAACATAATTTAACCAAATTATAAATAAAACAAAACATATGTACTTGGAATACTTACCAATGAAATAAATTCCAGTTTTGAGTGAATGCTAAGATGATCTAAAAAAGCATTAATTCCTATTTCAGCTAATTGTTTCCTTGTCGATTCGGTCCCATCACTAAGTTGTACCGGTCTAGTCATTGACAAAGAAACGTCTAGTAATATAACGGTTGGCATTGTACGTATACCTTTTAAGCGACTGAATTATAAATTCTATTAACTCCAACTTCTATTTTACACTTTTAATTCGTGCAAATACTGCAAATTCTTAATAATAGTTACATTATTATTGTTATCTGTCAAAGAGTTTGTCTGTGTCAAATGTTATTCCCTTCCATGATCCGTGTCCATGATCCACATACGAATAAAAACAAGGTATAAAAAAAAAGGTTGTCTAATGTCCAGTGTCTCTTGGCAATACGTATTTAGAAATATTGTAACAGTTATAAAAAGTAAATTTTTTATATGTATATTTTCCATTTTATAATATATGGGTATATTTATTGAAATATGTACATGCATCCAAGTACGTCACACGTCCTAAATTGTTCAAATTTCCACTCAACTTTCCAATCAGAATCCTCATTCATTTTATGCCGGGTCAATCTCGACCTATGTAGAAAGTCATCGAGGGGTTCTACTACCCTCCACAAGGAGCGGAGCGAAAAATAACATTTTCAACCATGGTTCCATGGTGACTAGTCTCCCTGCATGGTCTCATAATTTCCAGTGAAGTTTGCAAAGAATCTCTCAACCGCCGCCAACATGACAACGCCGTGGTTATAATTCTGTGGCCGTAACAATACTGGAGGGCGATATTGTCGGCACAGTGACCGCCGTTTTGAATTTCCGAAAATAAATAAAACTTTGGGATCGAACTTTGACCCTGGTACTTTGTACTTCTGTAACCAGGATCGAAACCTGGCCAGTATGATACCAATTCAAAGTTGCAAAGCTCTTTGCAAATCAAATACAATTTATCGTAAATCAATATTTATCAACAAATTCAAATTTTAATAATTCAGAACGTTGTTAAAAATTTTCATAAATTTTTGCGAGGGCATTGTTGCATCATAACAATTTCAACTGATTTATCTTTATTTTCAGCGCTCTTATCGGCCTCTTCCAGTTCAATGAATTTGATGATGAACAATTGAATGGAAAATTGAATTGAAATTTTGGATATAAAAATAACAAACTTTTACGGAAAATTATAGACGAGCTGAATATTATGGTGTCACAATATACGTAAAATGAATATCCGATGAATTTGAATTTGGTTGGTTGAACGATTCATTCAAATTGACATTCAATCAAATAGATTCTCTCATCCAAATCCAAATCACTCGTATAAAGGCGCTTTTAGAATAAAAAGTTAGCATTAAAAATCATCTCAAAATACTAAATGCACTTTTGTAAAAATTAAAGAAACGCCGTTCGTTTAAAATTACCGTGTTTTAACGTAATTCCTTCCTTCACATGCAAATGATGTTAGTGTCACAGAAAAAGAAAGTTTCCAGAGGACAGCAGCATCTGTGATTATTTTAGCCGTGACTAGTAGGCACTGTGTTCTGTAGGCTGGGTGATGGGTAGGCATTCATTATCATTAACAGCAATCACAAAAACCAAAATTTATTTTTGCCAAATAGTGAAAGCTGAAAATACCCATTTACTCAAAGCCCAAAATGTTTCCCTCCCATAGAGGAGATTCTCCATTGCACAACAGTTTTGCAAACGTAACTCTTATTTAAAATTTTATTTAAAAAGATATATGAATATGAAGAATTGCAGGTAACCCACAATGACAATAGTTATCGTCGTTAAATGTGTATTATTCTTCAGAATGGGTAGTGAAAGAGAAGTTTATTATATATATTTTATTTCTATTCAAAGAATACATTGTGTTGTCTAAAGTCAATATCATTAAATATTTTGTTATATACATTTTGTCCAAAATGAAGTTAATTTACAACAAAGTAATGCTTGGGAAATATAAATAAGCATGCATTTATGTGTATGTACCCTTAAAGTTATACAAGTTAATTAACAAAACAGGTATTTATACAAATAATATAAGAAATGGATTTTGGACAAAATGAGTAGTAATTATAATTTATATTATACATCTGCGAAAGGCTTATTTTTTATAATTACAACTAACAATCGCAGCACTGTTTTAAATCTATATTTAGAATTGTTAATCGGTTGTTATTTAACCCTAAGATATATTGACAAAGTATTTAAAACATTTCCGGACATTATCAATTATTAAATACCTCATTTTAATCGAGTATGGAATGTTTTTTTTTATGTATATATATAACTTGTTGCATGATGTAACGATGTTTATATATAATATGCTAAAGGCTTTCTTAGGCAAACATCCAGTAAAGTCAAACTGGAATCAGTACGATCTGCATACATATAATTTGCAAATACTTAAAACTAACTAGAACTATATTATCAATCTATTTTTAAATATAATAATTATATTGTAATATATTTTAAAAAACTGGCATTAGCCTTACAAGTTATAAAATATTTGCACAGCTATTTGCAGATTTCTGCGTAACGGGCTGGGCAATAGGAAGAAGCAAGATATCATCTGTAATCTAACTTTATTAGAACTCACTTCGTATTATACAAATCACTAGTATTCTTTGTTTAAAACAAGAGTTCTCATAGCCCAATACAACAAACAAAAATACTTTGTGATAGAGTACTTTTCTTTGTACAAACGATTATAAAAAACACAAAATCTAAGCCTAATTCTATAAAATTTTTGACTGCCAAATTTTTAATATTTAAATATATAACTTGACTAGGTATACTATATATTATTAAAATTCTATCTACAACTTTATACAATTTTGGAAATGTGAACGCTGAATGTTATTGGAATTGTTATATAAAACCTTATAAACAAGTAATGTTGCAAATCTTTATTGATTATCTGATACAAAAACCGTTTCACGTCTTGTAAAACCACATAAAAATAATTTACAAATATTCAACAAAGATTTGCCGCAACATCTAGACTCGTCATCAGCTTGAATCACAATATGCACAAGTTGATAGGTTCGATAGATACAAAAGAAATCAATGATACATGGAACACAAAGAATGTATACTACAACAACTAAATTCATGTAATTAAAACTTTGAGCAACAATAATAAAATTAATAACAAATGTACAATAAAAATAAGCATTACGTAGGTATCTAGGGGTGCAAGCACCAAATAATTGACATATTGCTGATTTGTTATACACCTTACAAATAACCGGAACCAAATACAATAATGTTTAACAAATCATAATAAGCCATACGACTTATTCATAAAGCAATCTCACACAATTGTGATTTCTCCTCAAATATCATGTCTCTAATACGTAACTGACATTTTTTGTACATTTATTTGTTCCAACTGAGTTTCCAACCTTTTAGAATATTTGCATTCTATATATGAATTTATTTTTGAATAATTTACTTATAGTTGCTAAATTTTAGTAAGAAATTGCTATTTAATAACTCCCTATTACAGGTATAAATTTTAAATTTAATAATGGTTAACAAAAGTATTTAATGAAACATAAATTCGTTAATTATATTTTCCAGAAGAAATTTGCTAATCAATTTTTTATTTATTTTTTTAAAGAATGAAGAAACCACAATGAGATTTGAATTGATAGAAAATAAACATAAAGCTTTATTTTGATTTTACCTAATTAATGAAGAAGTCTAAAATGGTATTATTTTCACAGTATTAAAATGATTTTATTTTATGATTTTGAAAAAAAAATATGTTCGTGATTTGTATAATTTTTTAAATTTAAAATAAATAAGTATTATTTAAAATGTATCTATATTTTATATACGAGGCATATCCACAAAGTAAAACCACTGAGACTCTAATGCTCAGTGTCTCGGTTCAGTTGAGAACTGTTGTTGTAGTGGCGTGTTGAAATGAGTGCCACTAGATCCCGCCAGCTGCAACGTGAGGAACATAATCTGGTTTCTCCTTGAGATGATGTAATGAATTGTACTAATATGTACAAATGGTCTCGTGAGTATAAAACTGGCAAAATGAATGTTCGTGATGAACAAAGTTCCTCAATCGTGACTGGCGAGATGGTGAACAAAATCAAAAAAATGCTTCATAGCGACTGTTGATTAACTTTGGACGAGACAAACACAGTGTCTCCACAAATCTCCAGGCCTCTTCTGCATGAATGTTCTCTGAAGGTGTTTATGAGTGGAAAAAGGTTTCCTTCTGAGGATGAGGTCCACAATGGGCCTGAGAGGCGGCGGGAGATTTTGTTGACGAAGGTATCACAAAGTGCATTGAGGTTGAAGGCAACTACATCGAAAAATACTGTTTGATGTACCTTTCTGAATATGTAAATTTTTCATAAATATACTGCCGTTTCGATTTTTTAAGAATGTAGTGGATATGCCTCGTATATGCTAAAATACTTTTTTTAAAGAAGTTGTCAATTGTATAATATATGACCTTCGGTTACCGAAAATAATTTATTTCTGGGGAAATCCAGTAGTGTGAGAGTCTTAATATGTAATGTTTGTACTGTTTAAAATGCAATCAAAATGAATTAGCTTTTGCTTACTAAACTTGGACACAGAGTATTATGATTTTTCAGTCTTATATACATTACTAGAGGCGATAATAAAAAAAAATAAGCTAACAGAATTAAATACACTCACTTTGAAACAGCTAATTATGTGACTGTTTTTGTTTTTGGTTTGAGTATGATAAAAATATAGATGGTATGTTGCAAAGTGAGGTATGTTTCATATAAAATATGGAGAAACCTGATAACAATTAAATTTGTAGTCTAGCAAATTTTCTCGTCAAAACATCAACCCAAATTAAATTGCCACACCTTTTACTTTACCTTTTTATGTACAGGGTATGAACAATGTTGGTAAAACTACATTTTTATTAGTTGGTTTGCAGTGATTTTATTGAAAAAATTAAAAATGTACTATAAGGTTATAGGAGCTGTACGTCTTGTATTTGTGTTAATTCTTTTGAAGGCACAGCCTAATAAATAATGTACCAAAGCTTCCTAGAGGAATATCAAAATATTTTTTATTACGAAAGTAAAAAATGTCTCAATTAAATCCGTTTCGCTGAATTTACTAGACTAATACAGGTGGAACAACTTTATAGCTAAAGAATATACAATCTAATCACAATGTCGCTAAATTATAACAATCTATTTTTATACGGACATCCTTACCTAACACATCCATAAGAAGCACTTATTAATCATGAGAATACTTAAATAAGTCTATCATATTGTGTCTAATACACTGCCTATACTACTCTGCTAGCGCACCCTCTAATTTTGAATCAATTTTCTCTAATTCTATATTAATATAGGGAAATCACTTTTTAATATTCACATTCATCGAACTTACAAGAAAATCTAAAAAACATGCATCTAACTACGATTTTGTAAATACTTACTATTTAGTAAATAATAGGGTAGAATAGTGAAGGCAAACAATAAAAGAACCACAGTTTACGTTGGGACGAAAATATAAGAAAAGCAATTAATAAGGTCAAGAGAAGGCACAGTTGTAAAGTTTTGTTTTATTTAAAATGCTTTTTAACTAAATATTAGAAATTATAGTTTAATTCTCAAAATTTTATTTTAAAAAATAAATATATTTATATTTTGCAAAATTTTTTAAAATGAGCAGTTAAAAAAATGAAAAGGGTTTAAAAATTTTTTGAACACTTCTTAATTTTTACTATTAAGTTAAATGTTGCTCAGATGGATCTCTTCAATAATAGTTTTTAAATTTTACCATTATTTTCTGGTATATCACGCCTCTTAGCGATACCAATAAATTTAAAATAAAACATTTGCCTACTTTTATAATTACTTCATTTTTAAAAAATGAGTTGTAAGCTGAATATTAGGGGATCGAGATAAAATCAAGTATGATCGCCAAAACTTTGTTATATACAGGGTGTTTGGTAAGTCGATGCATTCCTTGCAGGAGGTTATAGTACAAGCGATTTGTAATATATTTCCTTAATATACCATATTTCGAAAACGCTTAATTTTCGATCTACAGGGTGTTAAAGTTTTAATAAAAAATGCAAATTTATAAATATTGCGGAAACCGCTCAGAATATTTAATGAAATTTTACAGGCTTTGACAGTTAACAACAATACATATTTTATGATAAAAATATTGTTTTCAGTTTCACCAAAGGCGTGCGCACAGGCATGTGTAGGTATTGTTGAAGAAATAAATGATACACCACTGATTTTTCTTAAAATAAAAATTATTTTTGAATTCCTTGTTCAATTTGGAAGAGAAATGGTATCTTGACTGTTTTTCTTATGACGCACCGTTTCCAAGTAAAAAACAAATAAAATCAATTTATTGCATGGCGTAATCCGGTTTCAATAATTTGAAAAAAGCAGAAATTATGCCCTTAACTGCTTAACACTCAAACACTCAAAGTGACAGCTATTATTAATTTTGTCAAACAATAAACAAAAACGAGAGCACAGCCAACTTGCTAATTTCTGTTTAGATAGTGAATAGCGAATCTAAAAACTGATAAAAGTTTTTTAGACTGATGTTGTTACCTGCGAGGAATAATAATTTTTTGTAATAAAATTGGTACAAAAAAAGCGGAGTACATAATTTCTGCTATTTTTCAAATTATTGAAACCGGATTATGCCATGCAATAAATCGATTTTATTTTTTTACTCGAAAACGGTGCGTCATAAGAAAAACAGTCGAGATACCTTTTCTCTTCCAAAACATAATTTTTATTTTAAGAAAAATCAGTGGCGTATCATTTTTTTCTTTAAAAATATTCAAATACTTCCGTGTCTGTGCGCACGTCACTGGTGAAACTAAAAACAATATTTTTATCGTAAAACATGTATTGTTGTTAATTGTCAAGGCTTGCAAAATTCATTAAAATATTCTGAGCGGTTTCCGCAATATTTATAAATTTGCATTTTTATATTAAAACTATCACTCTGTAGATCAGAAACTAAGCATTTTTGGAATATGGTATATTAAGGAAATATATTACAAATCACTTGCACCATAACCTCCTGCAAGGAATGCATCGACTTACCAAACACCCTGTATATTATTTTTAATATGCTCATTTTAATTAATACCCGTTTTGTTTTTGTATTTCTCAATGAAAAAAAATCAAACTGATTTTTGAGCAGTCATATAGATGGATGATTTTAAACAATGTGGGTTTACATAAAACTGTTCATATAATACAGGGTGTTATAAAAAAGTAGGTCGAATTTTAAACTGCCACTTGTTTTGTTGAAAGTAATAGAATTTTTTTTATGCTATTTTTCGTTTATTCACAGAATGTCAAAGTTAAAATTTAAGGAAGATTTTTATTAACAACTTCGTGTTTTTTCCTTACAGATTTGTATTTCATGCTACACACTTTTTTTATTTTGGCTAAAAGTGCAAACGAAAGAAAGAGGATTGTAGCAGCCACTGTTCCTCTTCAACATTTTCCAATTTTTTTTTAGTTCAAGTGGAAATTTCTTTTACTTTGTAGTTTATGCTAAAATTATGGATAGTCGTTAAAAAAAATGTTAAATTTTGAAATATCGATTTTAGGCAGGATTTTTCTTAATATGCTAATTAAAATCGAGACTTTAATTTAGTTGCATTCACTGGTACTGATTAGAACTCACAAAACAAGGCAAATATAAAAAATCAACAATCATTTTACAAATGAAACTACATATTCTGTGTTAAGGATAAATAATAAAGTATTTTTTAAAAATTTCAAATTCTAATGATAATTTGGCTATTAAATGTAGAAATAAGTCTGTACAATACAAGGATATTTTTGTAAGGCTCAATTCATCTCATAAGAGAAATTGGAACATCATGTAAACATACAGATCAAAACTCTAGAGAAGTGAAAAAATAAATGGCTCCATCTAAGAAAAAAAAACAGTACATTTGAACTAATGGGTGCTACAATTGCTTTTGCAAAATGTGCAAAACTGGCACATGATGAAAGACTGAAAGTTTAAACCAAACGTTTAAAAAAAAACAACAAAGTTGATAAAAATTTTGAAAAAGAAAATGGAAAAGGCACAAAAAACATTATTTTCACCCTTCTGGTTTGTAACATCCTGTATGTTACTTTTTTTTTACTAAAATCACTGTTCAAAGTGTAGTAAAAAAAATGTAAATCCATTGATGACGACTGTTGAACGAAATTTATAAAACCCTGACCCTAGAACCAACACAACTTTCTTTTATTCGGAAGTTATGACGATCATACATATATTTCTGCATAAGGACTGGAGACCTATGAAATTCCACCGAGATGCGGAATAAGCATCAACTTGACTAACGTCAGTTTCATATTCAACATAAATAAAAGAATTTGATGTCTTAGAAGAAGAAACCACTGTACTGGATTCTCTTGTAAGTTAGAATCGACTTATATTGGCATGTCAGTAAAGTCGCTGGTAGGGCAGCTAGGCCCGGTAAATGTAAGAGGCAGTGTGGGGGGGTGTGGGGGATGGTGACGAGGAGGGCGGCGAAGGGGAACTGGAGGAACCGCTGCTTGTGGGCAGCGCGCTATGCCCCGACCTCTGTGGGCGCGTCCTTCCTAAACTTCGTGCTGCCACTCCGCCCTCCTCATTGTTTTCTCAGAGATATACCTTTTTGACGCTGCGGGTTGTTGCAAAGCCATCTCCTCGCCTGTAGTTGTCACCCTGCAACAACTGAATGTTACCGTTTTAGTGTCTTATTCGACAAATATCGGTCGTTGGCATGCTACAAGACAACACTGATATCGGATATTTTCAAACTCTTCAAAATTTAAAGATAAATTTCAACTTTTGAAAAATAATGAAGTTTCATAAAAATTAAGTGGACTAACAGTTAAAAAACTTTTTAAAGCAGTTTGAAAACATCTTAATAATGAGATCTAAGAAGTGTTTCTGACAACTATATACTATGAATAAATTATTTTACTATATTTATTTCACACAGTGCACACAAGAAAAAATGAGACGTAAATAGTCAAATTAATGGAATTAATGATTAATATGATTATTAAAAGAATGTGTGAATAATATGAACTAGTGTATTCTACAGTTTTTTTTTCTAATAAACAAACTGTCAGAGAAAAGCGACAATATTAGCAGACTAGTGATGGTTATATCACGAGGATTAGAGGATACTGAGCTTATTAAAATTATGAGATAATTTAACAAAATGAAGTGTGTAACAAAACAGTGTATGGTTGCTGAGTAAGGGTGATATCTAAGACTTTTAAATATCAAAAACGCCTCACTGTCGAGCCCCTACATGTTACATAACTGTGTTTATAATGCATGGTTTTAATTTTTTTAATGATAAAATACAAGGGCGAGGACCACAAATTTGTCATGGGCTCAAATATTTCTCTCGACAGCCGTCCAACAGCTTGTCAAAACTGTACTCCATGTCCAAATAAATAACGAGAAGATAGGTATATTGCAGTGTTTTAAGTCATTTCGAACAGTTTTGGTAAAATCATTTACATTTACAGACTGCTAATTTGTAAAACAAACAGTAAAAAGTCAAAATAAAATTTGTGTTTCATGACAAAATTTTCTTTTTCTATTTATGTGGATTTTTCCACAGTTTAGTCTTTACGATTGTAACATTTCTTCTCTGTTAAGTCAACAATGTCTTATGCCTAGAGACAAAAATCAACAATTTAATAAATTTCCATGAATCTAAATAAAGGAATTTATTAATTAACTTAATTTCAACGAAACATGTTTTGAACATATGTAAAAATGTTTAAAAAATTAAATCGATGACATTTTGCTTAACAAATTGACCTCTGGTCGCCATTTTAACTGGAGTAATATCAAATAAAATGTTTATGTTGCTATACAGACATGACTATCATAAAATATTAATAAAATTGCTGAATTAGTTAATTTTGAGTTGAACTGAACATAAAATTATATATGATTACAAAAAAACAACTGGAGGTGAAATACCTTTTTTTTACTAATATTACTGTCAGAAACAACTACCCGGCACCCGGCCCACAGTAACATTAGTTAAAAGTTTATTTTCGCTAGTGCAAAACATTTCTTATCTATCTTCTGCTCTATGATTATGAATCATTAATCGATAGTTTCAAATCATGACCACAGTTAAAAGAAGACGCTACAAATAAATATTAGTAGGTCACTCTTTGTCAGTAGATCCACAAAGCCAATAGACATTGACTAGTAATGACATTTAAGATATAACCTACTTTGTAGGTTAAATCTCACATTTTCTTTTTTGAGAACTTGTATCACTTACCTACTGTTAATGTGACTCGTGAACAATATTTGTTAATTCACGAAAAAAATGGAATTTTGTTACTCCTTGTTAAAAAATTTTCCTGTGATGTACCACAATTCTAAGTTGAGGCTATAACTTTATCATGTTAAATGCCATTTTATTTATTATACAGGGTGTTTAAGAAAGACTTCCTTTATATACAGTCGTAATTTTTTGTCTTATGAACTATGTCTATGTCTATCTCCTCTTGTTTTCGAGATACAGAGCGAGAAAATAAAATTTTTTAAATAGAATTTTTACGAAAATTTACAAATGGTGCGAAATATTTTTTTTGAAATTTGGTATTTTAAGGACGGGTTTTTAAGGACGCCAAATACGTCGGTCTAATTATTTTTTGGATATTTCATAGACGGCGTTAGTTATGCTACATTCCTATTACATTTTAAGTTCAAATTTTTTTAAGGTTAGGTTTTTTACCATTGAGGCTCCAATTTCTAATGTACAATTTTATTTTCTAAAAATAATGTACTCTTGTTAGAACTTCCTAGTGTGGACGGTTTTCGAGAAAAAAGGCTTTTATATCAAAATTTTAGTGATTTTTAGTGACTAGTTAGTAATGACTAATTACAGTCATTAAAATTTTGATATAAAGTTAATTAGAGTTTAAAATATTACTAAGAATGTATGTGTTGTTTACGAGACGTCCATCAATTTTTGACATAAGCCTACTTTGAGAAAAGTCACTTATTTTATATACCGTAATATTGTAAGAGTTTAATTAAAACTCATTTTTCTCGAAAACCGTCCACATTAGGAAGTTCTAACAAGAGTACATTATTTTTAGAAAATAAAATTGTACGATAGAAATTGGAGCCCGAATGGTAAAAAATTAACCTTAAAAAAATTAGAACTTAAAATGAAATAGGAATGTAGCATAACTAGCGCCCTCTATGAAATATCCAAAAAATAATTAGACCAGCGTATTCAGCATTAATATTTCAAATTTCATAACAATATTTCGCACCCTTTGGAAAATTTCGTAAAAATTCTATTTAAAAAATTTTATTTTGTCGCTCTGTATCTCGAAAACAAGAGGAGATAGATATATAGTTCATATGACAAAAAATTCTTATTTTTCGTCTTACTATCACCCCCTGTATTTACCGGTCGTCTTTCTGAAACACCCTGTATATTGTGTATATAAAATTCCATTTCACTATAACACATTGCATAGCATTATTATATGTTTTAAACTTTATTTATTTTAAGATAAATGGAGGTTTTGAAGGTAAATATTTATATAAGGATATATGTAGTTTCCATTTGAAGGAAGAAAGCAATTCTTCACTTTTGACATGTTGTTATATTACACCCTGTATATCTGCTAATATCATCTTTATTACTTGAAGTCAATAAAAAATGTGTGATTTTTTGATGATACAATTAATGAAGTGAATAAAATGATGACTGAAAAAAAACATTTTTATCTATTTTTTTTTATTTATTGTAAAAGACTTTTGCTAGTAATGTTATTTAAATATTATTTATATAGTTTATATCTAACATGCGAAATTTTTTTATACTAAACATATGTTTTTTTTTTAAGAAACTAATTCACACGACTTTTAAATTTTTATCTTAAATTTATAAAAAATATATTTTATGTTTCTATGAAAAAGAGAGAAAGATTTGGATCAGTAAGTCAAACAATACAATTTTAGAAAAGAAAATTAATTTACCTGATAATTTAAGGGTGCCTGAAACCCCAAGACTGTTTAAAATGTAGGAAAAGAAAAAAAAACAGTGATAATGTTTTTGTAATATTATTAATACTTACTAATATAACATAATTGGATTCTACACAATATACTTACTATTTTGATATTTTAAAAACTTATTTATTGACATTATTTAAAAATGTATACCTTTCCTTTGAAATATTATATTATTATCATACTGGAACTGTGAATTAATTTTGAGGGATTTACAATAGATGGCGTAACTTATGCTATATCACATCGGACTTCTTTGTATGCCGTTGTCCAATGTGAATCGTTCATTTGTACGATGGGCACAATATGCAATTGCTCAAGTAAACGCTCGCCTCTCGTTTTTCGGAGCTGTGGCTATGCTGAATGCTCATACTGGCGGGAGGTGGCACATATACAAAAAATGTTTTGACAAGTAACACAATCGTGTTTATTACCTCACATGATGATTTGCTTCTTTGCAGGTGTGTGGTTGGTACTCTTTGCATTTTACCAATATAAATGGCAACAAAAAATGTGTTTTTTTTGTCATAAATGAAGTGATTTACTTGAGATTCTATTGTTTGTAATTTCTAGTAGAGCAGTCGAGTATCGGGTGCTCAATATTCAGTGCTTGCTTAAATATATTAATGTCGGAATGAAGCTCCTTCACTTTGAGTAGTTCGTTCACGACACAAGATGATGTGCCGGAACATTTGTGTGAGTCGTTCATGAGCCATCCACCTCTATTATTATGTGTCATCTTGTTGAAGTGTAAACAACATATTTTTAGATGTTAAATTGCGAGCTAACAAAACATCAGTTTGTGCGAAGTTTTACTTTTTTAAATTCAAAGAAGACTACTTCATCGATAAAACTTGAGAGTATTGGTTTCGACGCTTTAGAAGTGGTGATTTCGATGCAGTTGACCAAAAAACGCACTAGTTACCCAAAAAAGTTTGAAGATGAGGAATTGGAAGCATTACTCGGCTAAGATTCATGTCACTTGCTGAATCATTGAATATTAATCACACAACAATTTCCAAACATTTCACCACTCGTATGATTCAAAAGCAAGGAAATTGGGTGCCATACGAATTAAAGTTGAGAGATGTTGAGCGACAATTTTTTACGTGGGAACGATTGCTTCAACGACAAAAAAGAAAGGGTTTTATGCATCATATCGTCACCGACGATGAAAAATGAATATGCTATAATCCTAAGAGTAGGAAATCATGGGGTTTGCCTGGTCGTGCATCAATATCGAGGCAAGGCAGAATATTTATGGGTCGAAGATCTGTATTTGGTGGAACCAGCTTTGTGTTGTGTACTATAAGCTGCTTCAACTGATTAAAACCGTCACTGGTGAAAACTACCAAACATAATTGGTACGTTTGAGCCATGTACTGAAGGAAAAATGAGACAATTCGAGCAAAGACACAGTAAAGTAATTTTTCAACATGATAACGCTCGACCTCATGTTGCTCATGAAGCCAAGATATATTTAGAAATGCTGAAATAGGATGTTTTACCACATCCGCCAAATTCACCAGATATTGCTCCATTGGATTACTAGTTTCAATCCATGAATCACGGTCTGGCTAAGCTGTGCTTCCAATCTTACGATGATAGATTGGATCGATTGGTGGATAGTTGTTCTTTCGACACAGAATCCGTATGCTGCCAGAAAGATGGAAAATTAATGTACGCAATTTTTCACAATAATGCCTTGAATTTACAAAAGCATCCCTCAAAATTTACAGTCTTAGTTTTGTAAAAATATTTTGTCAAATCAACTGTATTCCAAAAAAAAAAAAATTAAAATAATATTTCAAAGTTAAGGCACGAATATTTACTTTAACCAATTTTTTTTAAATCTTTTAATCAGTCTGTAATACATAACATACACTTGTATTACAAGCATGACAGTTAGAAAAGCAATTTATTGGAAAAAAATTACCTGATGGGATCGCAGAGTGCCGAAATTGTCCCGACCTCTATAATTGTCACGGCCGTTATAGCCAGCATCAGTCTGAAATTGGAAGAGGGTTTCAGCGTTGTTCTGATGTGGCCCCTTACGTAGTGTATTCTTTGGCGAGTGTAGCTTGGGTGGAGGCTGAGGTACCAGAACTGGTTCCGCGTATGTCACCTCTTCTTGTGGAAGTAATTTTGGCTCAGCTGCTATCCGACTGAAATAAATGAAGTTGTTAGTGAATAGAAGATTTTTTTTTCAAAATAAATATAAATTCATAGTAATCTGATAAATTTGAAATAGGTACTTTTCAAAAACGTTTGATTTATAAAAATATTTATTATATACTCACCTATTCATATTTTGCCGTTGTTCAAAATATTCGTATTCAGTATCCGGATATGGTAAGTTGTCGTCTTCGTCTTTGTGGCACTTTCTGCCACAAAGATATCCGGCGAAGAAGCCTACAACTAAGGCGGATACAGATCCAGCCACCACAGCCATAATAAGCGTCTCGACAGAATAATGCGCAGGTAAAGTGTCTGCGGCAGTTACAGCAGGCCCTGTAAAATAAAATTGATCAAAAATCTATTTTAAATGTACTAATTTATATTTTAAGATTGTACTAATAGTTGTGGTACTTACCACTACTTTCATATGGTTTATCTTGAATGATATTAATGACTTGCCCGTCGGGCAAATCTTTGGTTGGATGATCAGGATTGTACTTGGGCTGACTTGAACTTAAGCCCCCGACTGAACCAGCGTCTTTTCCCAATTTGGGTGGGGGACATGCCGTGTGTTCCCCTGTTGCGACGCTCTGGAAGAAGTAGCTTTCTTCACCCCATCTTCCCGATCCTTTGGATCTGCACTTGCCTTGGACCTTGTCCCAGGCGCAGTAAGGATCTTGGAGAGCTACACATTCACTGGAAAGCAGAAAAATTGATTTTAGTACAATTTCGGAGCTACTCACATTTCTCTGCTAAAAATATTTCGTTCACTCACCTGCAACTGGATATTTTATTGCTGTCGCATCTATGAACTCTCAACGACTGCACTTCGGTGTCTGACACGACAATCAGTCTTGTTTCTTCCTTTCCACCAGTTCGACCCTTCATTATCTTGACCGTACGAACGGGAACGTGTGCAGGAAAAACCTGAATTTCTTCTACAACCACCGGTCGTACCCCGTGACGGGAGTCGGCTGATAATCCATTGACAGCTTTAATAACTTTTCCATTGTCTATTAGAAATAAATATTATTTACTATTATTCAGTTGGAAATATTTGATTAAAGGTTCTACCTGTTCCAATAAAGAGAACGTCATAGGTTTTCCCTCCAGGTACTTTTACTTGTGGATCCACTGCTATTTGTGTAAAGCGGTAACTGAAAAGAAATATACATGCATATAACAACTTTTTTTTGTGTTGTAATATATATGGTGCATGGTTCAGGCTTTAATCAAGAAACTTTATCAGGAACAAATTATTTTAAGAAAAATTTTTTATATGAACTGTCATTCGCTTCGTTTTTGAGATACAGGATGTTAAAATATTACATTTTCGGAAAAGTATACCATTTTGAATAATAATTATTCTGTTCTTTTTAATCTGATATGTCAATATTCCATTTTCGAGTTACAATTACATATTAAATTTAAAATTAAGCTAATTTTAGAATGGGGTGTATAAATAACTCTTCTCTGTCTTTCTATTACTACATAAAAGAAGAAGGATAGCGGTGTGAGATTTTAACTGAACTTCCTATTAACAGATGGTACAATTAAGTCATAATCTTGCTCTAGTACATATCAATTGTCCACCAAATTCGTTTCGCTTTTAATTTTTTTTTTAAATTTCCAATTAACTATTTCACAAAAAATGAAAAAACGCGGGTTAAATTTGTTATTTTATTATATCATAATATCTGAAAGAAGAGAACAAGACAAACATAAGAAATTAATACTAAATTTTATTATGTGTACGAACCTTATTGTGTGTACACTTTAAACTCTTTTAATAAGAGGTAACTGAATTTGAAGGAAAATTTGTAATTAACTTTTTGCAGTTTACAATGGGCTTGTTAAGCGTATTATTTTAATTTATGTTTAGAAAGTAAACATTATAGTAAGATAATGTGCGAAATATTGAAAATTTTGCTAAAAATTTTTCAAAATAATTAAAACGGAGTTCGGGAAAACGCTCGGAGGCCATGTTGTGACGTCATGCCACTCGTTAGGTTAGATACTGTGGAAGTAGACAAAAAAAACAAACAAATTTAAAGTATCAATCCTAAATTAAAAGAAAAACGTCATTACAAATCTTGATAACGAAAAAAGATTGATTTATTTGTTAAGCTAGTTCGTCACACAAGAGAAATTAGGAAATTAAAGAACAGTAAGTGGGGCAATATCACTTATTAAAAGAACTGCAATATCTGGTAAACCAAACCTTAAATCAAAATTTTGCAAAATAAAAATAAAAGAAAAAACAATTCCAACTAAAGACCAATCATTTCTACCGTAAACATGTCAAACAGTCAGTACACTACAACCCCCTTTTTCTTCGGTCGCACTCCGTTTTTTTTTGTGTCAGTACTGCATAATACAGAGTGTTCTGTCCATCAGGAAACTTCGGGAGGCGGTTCCACGGATTAAAATAATAGCAGTATGTAATGACAATTTTTTTGGAATTGTCAATTGTTTGCAAGTTACAGCTTACATTACAGTTTAATTTTTCTTTTTAAATAACTTATTTAATTCAAGTTCTATTACTCTCCCATTTGGCACACCCACTAAGTAGATGAAGCTCTATTGGACCAGTTAGAGAAAAGTTTCATTATGCGTCGCTAAAGGGCACTTTACCTAGAACTCAGAATTTGTTTGGTTCATAACTTTTTTCTATAGCTAGACATCACAGAAATTTAAACATTATTGAAAAGAAAAATAATATCAGAAAAAATTGTGTACTCTTAATTCAAGTCGATAAATGTTACCCGTTTAACAGCAAATCGCTATTAAAGCGTTATTAAATATCAAATTTTTGATAATTCTTTCTGCAATTAATCAAGTTGCCATGCTGTAATACCATCTCTTGTAAACACCGGCTTCGTGAGTAAATAAAATATTATTAGTAAATTCATTATCCTCGGCTTATTTTTCCGCAATATACATAGCCGAAAAAAAATTATTATGGTGAAAAATCAAACATACCTGCTTTAAACAATTTTTATTATAATTCGTAACACCAAAATTACTGATGATATTTATTTGAAGCATGGCAACTTGATTAATTACAGAAATAATTATCAAAAATTTGATGTTTAATAACACTTTAATAGCGATTAATAGCGATTTCCTGGTAAAGGGTTATATTTATCGGCTTAAACAAAGAGTACATCATTTTTTCTGATATTGTTCCTCTTTTGAATAGGTAATATTTAAATTTCTGTGATGTCTAGCAAGAGAAAAAAGTTATGGACAAAACACATTTTGAGTTCTAGCTAAAGTGCCCTCTAGCGGTGCACAATGAAACTTTTCTCTGACTGGTCCAATAGAGCTTCATCTACTTGGTGGATGTGCGAAATGAGAGACTAATAGGACTTGAATTGAAGTTATTTAAATAGAAAATAAAAAAATTGAACTTTGACAAGCTGTAATTTGCAAACAATTGACAATTCGAAAATTTCATTAGATACTGCTATTATTGTAATACGGAGTTTCCTGACGGACTTTCAGAACACCCTGTATATGCAAAATTTCAACCTAAAAAATTCAACGGAGTTGCTAATAGAAACTATTTCCAAATCGTAACTTTGACAACCTGTATCTTCAAAAAAGGAGCCTAAATGAGAAATGGTATAAGCAAAATCCAGTGGTGGCTCTTGACTTCTATACCAGGGAGGACGGAAAAATTTAGGTACAAAGTATTGAAAAAAAAATCAAATATAATTGGGTGATTTTATTCTTAAGTATGTGCTATTGAAATATAGTGAACATGTACTCAACATTATTTTTTAGTCAAAGTCTATTCTTCTGCTTATTTTGTCCGAAATAAACTTTTCAATTACTTTTTCATGCATGTTTGATATTTCTTGCATCATTGATTTTTCAATAGATATGCAAATGTATGTATAATCAATTTAAACTTTTACAATTTTTTAAAAAACACAAGAAACAATATGTAACTCTTATTTGGTCGGACTAAACAGAGCTCAAACTGCATAGTAAATATACGCTACTCCCACCACGTCGTTCACTGCTGCGCGACGGTAACCATGACCACCGCTGTAAACATTTTACAGAAGTAGAGGCGAGCACAGAACACCAGAACCAGAAGGGTGTTCTGTGGAGGCGAGCTACGAAGAGCCCACGTATTCAGAGTCTGCACATTATACAAATTTAACGTTTCCTCTTTGATGCGTCTCATAAAGCTATTTAATTAGGTATATAGATAACATTGTAAACTAAATTTTAAATATTTTTTTTTACTATCAAAATGTCTAAAGGGGCGATGCACTAGAGCCTAGAGCCCTCCGCACCAGCCGCTTTGAAAAAAACCCATTATTTCAGTGTAATATACTTACTGGAAACTAGTTCTGATCACAATGGGTTGCCCGAAAAAGCTGGGCACGCTCTCATCCATCAAGGAATGAGTCTTGATGAAATTCAAAGTGAGGTCCGGCAGCGTCCGGCTGTCGTTGTGGCATTGACCGGGCCGCGGGTCCGGCACCTTATTGCTAAGGACCGGCAGCCAGTTGGAATTGATGGCGGCTTGTTCCTTGAAATTCCCTTCGAAGGTGTCGGTGATGTCCTGCAAGCTAAAAGCGCACACCGCGCTGCCGGAGATGCTGTTCGGCGGCGTGGTGAAGGTGCCGTAGATGAGCTGAGCGGACACATCGCCGTACTTGCCGTCGATGAGATCCGTCGTGGATTCTGCGAAAAAAAATTCGTAGTAAGAGCGAGCATAATTTTAGTACAAGGCGATACTTTATTTCCCATTTCAGGGCTGATATATTTTAATATAATACCGATGAGTTTAGCTTTATCCTCATAGGGTTATCCCTTAATAATAATAATTGCTTTATTGCCCAACAGAGATTCCATTTACAGGGCAAATACAGAAGTAAAAATAAATAAAAAATAAAAAAAAACGGAGTTAAATTTATCAAAGCAGAATGTCTAAAAAAGAAAGAAAATATATAATCCAAGTCATAATTTAAACCAATTATGAATACATATATGGGTTATAAATTAAGGTAAAACATCATCATTCAAATTCCGAACAGCTACTTGTATAAGTTCCCTCAGTGTACATGCATTAATATCACAGAGGTGACTAAGTCTATTGTAATTATTACACATCACAAAAATGGGCGATTTAAATAGCAAGTTTGTCTTGGGTGCACAACAATAAAAAGTCACAGTATGTCTAATCGATGACCTAGGCACAGCAAAATTTAATTGACTCAATAGATCACAGCAATCTATTTGGCCATGTAAGAGTTTGTATAAAATAGAAAGTGTAGCACATTTGTGCCTTAAATTTAGACTAATTAAATTGAACCTATTTTTTAACAGGCTATAAGCTACACCTCTTTCAGGATAAACACCATCAATTTTATATACTAGATATTTCAAAAATTTCCTTTGGATCGATTCAATATCAACTTTGTAACATCTATAGAATGGATACCAAATCACATAACCATACTCAAGTTTGGAACGCACATAAGAGTAGTATAGTATTTTCAAAGCATCAATGTTTGTAAACGTTCTACAATTTCTAACGATAAATCCATACATTTTCATTGCTTCACCGATTTTCAAGGAAATATGTTGGTTGAATGATAGTTCATGGTCAAACAGAATGCCAAGATCCTTATAAGAGTCGGCACGATTCAAAACAATGTTTTCTAATTTGTAATCATAATAAAGAATACATTTCTTTCTGCTATATGAAACAATTTTACACTTAGAAGAATTCAGGTACAATTGATTTTCATTACACCATATCAATAACTTGTTAAGGTCATTTTGTATCTCTATACAATCCTCAACACTATTAATATCTCTATAAATCTTCAAATCATCAGCAAAAAATAGTTTATGACAATCAAGGACATGACTCAAATCATTTATGAAGAGTAAAAATAGCAAAGGGCCAAGGTTAGATCCTTGAGGCACGCCTGACGTTGTTAAATATGCCGGGGATTTAAAGCCATTATACTCAACATATTGTTCCCTTTGCTTTAAATAAGATGAAATAAACCTTTGAGCTAGAACAACAAAACCAAAATTACCTAGTTTATTCAATAATACAGTGTGACTAATCCTATCGAAAGCTTTGGCAAAGTCAGTGTAAACTGCATCCACCTGTCCTTGATTATCAAGAACTTCAAATGCAAATTGGGCAAATATAGTTAAATTCGTTATGGTTGATCTATTATTTAAGAAGCCATGCTGAGATTGAGACAATTGATTATGTACAGATAGATAAATGCGGTTATATAAGACAATTTCAAATAATTTTGCAAAATTCGAAAGAATAGAAATTGGTCTATAATTAGAAATAAGGCTATTATCACCGTTTTTGAGAATAGGGCATACTCTAGCTATTTTCCATAGTTTAGGGAACTCAATACATTTCACTGCCAGATTAAATAAATAACAAAGTGGAGTAACAAATACACGTATACAATCTTTCACAATGAATGAAGGTATCTTATCAGGACCAGAAGTGAATTTATTTTTAAGCTTATTAGCAGCATCAAGAATCTCCACCTCTGTTATTAACCCAAAATGGATATTGTTAATATTAAAATTACTTTCCTGGGGACAAAAACTATCATCAGAGATAGTAAAAACACTTTTAAAGAAATTACTAAATGCATTGACAATATCTTGTGGTTGATCTAGTATAATATCATCATAAGACATTCTCCCAGGGATTCTGCTACTTCTATTTTTTGAATGCACAAATGACCAGAACTGCTGGACATTGTGAGGAATTGCTGTCTGGATCTGAATTAAGTAATTTTCATACGCCAATTTGATTTGATCTTTAATTAATCTACGTAACCTCTTAAATTCTTCCAAGTGCAATTCATCACATGTTTTTTATATTTCATATGTACTTTAGATTTTCTTTTAATATTTCTTATAATATCAGCATTATACCAAGGAGGATATTTATGTCTAAATGATCTATATAGTGGTAAATATTCATCAAAAATCTTATACAGCTTTTGGTAAAACCCCGCACAGCTAGATTTATATCATCAATTTGCAATAAAAAAGACCAATCACATTCCAAAACTAAAAAATTATTTAACAAGGGGCAGAGCTGGGAATATTTTGACCAAAAAAAACCCAAATAGTATTTTAAATATAAAATAGTATTTTGTAATTAAAATACTTTCGTTATTACCCCATAAAATATTTTGTATTTCAAATACTTTACTGAAGTATTTTGTATTTTAAAAAAGTATTTTAATTCTTCTAAAAGTAATTTAAATACTCTTGAGTATTTAAAATACCCAAAATCCCTACCAAAAACAAATACTTTTTGCCTGTTACGACAGGCGACTTGTACAACACATGCAACAAAAAAATATGCACCTGCACGCCTGGATTTAGCGGACTACTCTGTATTTTGCAATGTGCGTTGTGTTATTGCTATTCTAAATCTACTACCTTTTAGGTCACTATCATCACTAGTCAATTCAATAGTAAATCGTTAAAATTTAAAATTAATTTCTTTTATCATTAGTGGACTATTCTAAGAAAAACTAATAAAAAATGATGAGTGAATAATTACTAATTAGTCGAGGAAAAGCACAAAAAGAGCCAAAATCTCCGAAATTTTTCGATCAAGTCGTATCAAGATGTTTTTTTTTTGCATTCGCTTTCTAAAATTATGTGGAAAAAATGTAGCAACTTATTTGTATTATGTTTTTCGGCCAAATTGCATTTGTGCAGTGCAAAATGCATCCGGAAAAATTTTTTAAGTCTCTTAAAAAAAATTCATAACTCGGTTAATAATGCCTGGAATGGACTCAAATCAGAGTCATGGGGGCTTCCGAGGTCGCTGATCCCGAATATGACCTTCAAATTAGTTCATCGCCGACCTGAAGCTTAGGATTTATCCGAGGCTTCTCCTGAATTTCACTCTTAAATGCAACGAGACTTAACACCCAGGGGTTTTTCCTAATCTAGCGTCGGCGAGCACCCCCCCGGACACCTCGTGCACCGGAACCTGGACATGGACGTAATCTTCGGATGTTTTCCTGTAAAATTCGCGTAAGCGAGCCGAAAATCGTATCAGGAGGTTTTTTGGGGCGCTCTTCTCGAAATCATCTTATAATATGACGCATGCACGACTGTGGGCCCCCAGACCGGGGCCCTCGAAAAACTATCCGGGCCCTATTATACGTCAGTTGATGATGAAAATGATATTTAGTAGAATATTTTCAAATTAAAGTTAATAGTTGATTAGATTAAGATAAAATGGAGTTAGATTATATTTGAGTTAAATTAAATTGAAGTTAAACAAATGATTTTTTCCACGGTCGGGAGTAGAAATCAGTTTCTATGACATCAAAATTAAAACAGAAGTAGTCGATTATTCCCAAGGGAGTATAATGCTCCCAAGGGAGTTTACATTATGGAGAACGTTTTTCATGCAAAAAAAAGATAACATTTAAATTATTTATTGACATTTAAATTAAATGTTACATTTGTACAATTTTCAAAATTAATATTAGAAGGAATATTACTTTCGCTTACATTTACAGTTTTTGTGATTGCGCTAGTAGTGGTACCTACTAAAACCTGATTAGCAATTTTGGTCTTATTTTCAATGGAGTTCTCGACATAACCCTCAGCGACTGTCGTTGATTTCCAACCAGCATGATGCTTTATTGTCGTGATATCCACACCAGCATCTGCCAGTAATGTCGCTGAAGATCTTCGTAAGCAGTGACCAGTATAACATGCAGCATCAGGTAATTTTAAATACGAAGCTACTACACTCGGAATTTTTCCCATGGTATTCTTGCCAACTGGCTGCGAACTACATTTTCCTGCTTTGTAGTACAAAAAAAGGCGGTTATGCTTGACGCGGGGGGGACGAAGGGACAGGTATTTTCGAAACAATTCAAGCATATTTCCCACATCGGTAACCAAAAATGTTCGTGGAATCTTTGTCTTAGTGTTTGGAATTTTTACAATCAAGGAAGAGCCTACATCCTCAATATCATCTACAGTTAAATTTACTAGTTCATCAGTTCTACAAGCTCCGGCAATCCCCAGAATTAATCCAACCTATAAAAAATCAAAATACTTAATAATTGAAATACCTAACAACAAAAGTAATCTTACCTTAATCATTAAGAATTCTTTCTCATCTGCACTTGATAGAAAACGGTCGATTTCACCCTTTGTCAATATTTTCGATTTTTTCGCTTGATATCCGTCACCGGTTCTTTTCAAAAATGCGATCAGCTTGGGGAATTTGCTTATATCTATGTTGTCGTAAATTATCAAGCATGACTTAACCATAGAATATTGCGCCAATAATGTGAAAGACTTGTAATTCTTTGCATTTTCACTGAAGTATGCCAACAAAACATTCTCGCTGTATACTTGAACATTTTTCTCGGCGCACCACTTTTTGAACCGATTGTAGGCTATACCTATCGTATAAAGATCTTGACTTCGTATGCAGCAAATTGCTTATTGCAATATTTGCAGCCTCCACAATCTCTTCCGACTCACAATTATTCATTGTGCACTAAACAAACTTTAAACTAAACCAAACTAGCACCTTAATTTGACAATTCTTTTTGTTTGTTTATTTTGTAGTTATGACAATAACTCAACGACTACTAAATAAATGCTCAAATCCGAATACAATAATTCTGGTGCTACTTACT